CCTATTGATAATGTGTACCTAATCTACTTGGTATTAAATTTTTAGGATGAAATGATAAGAAAATAATTAGGTTTTAGTTTGGGTAAGTTTCGACCTAAAGTGTGGGAAAATTAGGGTTAGATTTGGTTTAGCCTTTTTATCGTTGAATTGGTTGATTTGACCATAGAATAATATAATGAGATGAATGAGAGTGAAAGGCTTTATTATAAACTTAAATTTTACTTATAATGGTAAAGTTAGGATTTAGGCCCAATATGACCCAAAATGAAATTAATATGTGAAATTAACCTAGAATTACTTAATGAAGTTAGCTTATGAAATTAAGATTAATTTGATAGGAATTAGCTTTGAAATAGATGTTAAGAAGTGAATAAAAAGACTAGGTTAAGAAAATACCTAAATCGACCTAAATAAGAAAATGTGGAGTTATGAATGAATTTGTGAAATTTTATGCATGATTATGTTTTTTAATTGTATTAATGTGTTTCAAATTATGAATATTATAGGCTTCTTTGCCCTCCCAATACATTGGGCCAGTCGGATTGTCCCCCGTGTATGATTAATTTAAATCAATATATTGTTAGAGGTATCGCTCCCGTTTCAAAAAAAAAAAATTATAAATGTTATATGTTGTTGAATGGTGAATGATTATGAAATTATATTGTTTGGATGGTTTAATGTTGTTTGTATGGATTATGATAGTTGGAATGATTTATGTAGGGTAATTTGATAAATGCAATTACGCTATTAATTTTTATACATTCTCATAGCGTAATTGCATGATTATTCATGGCATGCACTTCATGAGTCAACATTGTTTTACATCATCGATGAACTGCTCATGCATGCCTAATTTCATGGAAAATATTTTAAAAGTCATGAAAACATTTTTTATGTCATGATTTTTCAATAGCAATTGGAAATATTTTAAAGAATATGGTTTTCATGACTTGAGGATTTTTATGAGGAGGACTTCACGAGTTTTCCATACCTATAATGGTAGATGGTTTGAAGGATAGGGTCGAGTGGAGTGTAGACATGCATTTCCAAAGGCTTGATAAGGTGTGCGTCCGCAAACGGGTCCGGTTCGCCGGACATACTATGGAAACCCCGAAGTACCTATGATGGGACATGTCCAAAGATAGAAAAAGATTTTTAGATTTATCATGAAAAGTGTTTATGATATGAAAAAGAGTTTTTACACGAGCATGCAAATGATTTATACATGCATTTTCATTTATATGCATACCATGCATTAGTTAAATTACCGAGCTTTCGCTCACCTATTTGCTTGTGGTGTAGTTAATGCAGTTAAAGATGATAATGATAACTTTTGAGGTTGACTACCGAAGAAATCGTCCGACTTGTGTATGTTAGTCGTGGTTGGAAGATGGATCTAATGCACACCTCGACGGTTCTAGAATTTAGTATCCCATTTTATTTTTAGTTATGTCTATGTTTTTCTATATGATACTTAAAGCAATAAAAGAATAGATGGCTAACTAGCAAGAAATGAATATAGATAGTTAATAAGCCATTTTCCTAGTAGTTGGTACTAAACTCGCCTTTTATATGTAAATAGTAGTTGTATGTAAATAAAATATTAGTAGTAAAATAGGAGTCTAGACATAACTAGTGTAGTTTCTTTAAATCATTACTTCCATGTTAGTATCACCAAAATGATAAGACGATATAATTAAATAGAAAATAATTAAAATAAATAGAAATTAAGAAAAAGAAATAATCAAGTAATGGATTATAATTAAATAAATTTATATAATTTAATAGAAAAAGAATTTGAGAAAATCGAAAGTCACAAATTCAATTACTTTAGTTCAAAGAAGTCAAATAAAATAATAAAATGCAAAAAATTTATAGTGCATTTTAAACCAAAAAGTAGGACCTAATCATCATATATTAGACTTCGTAGCATAATTTAAACCCAAGAGTATTATGAATAAGTCACGGTGTTTTGTTAGTTTGTATTCATTATGCTTCGAATATAGGTTAATGACGATAACATTCTTAATCTATTAGGTCCTAGGTTAGGGGTGTTATATTAGTACTTTAGGCTTTGACCTCTTTTCTCGCTTAAATATTTTGTTGTTATTTTCATAGATGAGGAAAGTTCGTAATTACGTAACCAACAATCCATTATAAGCTTCTTTTTTATAACCTTTCAAGCGTGTTGCTTCTTTGACTAAATTGAACTTATGTGCTTCCTTTTCTCCACTCTCTCTCTCTCTTTCTCTCTTTCAATAAACTTTAAGTGTTATTTTCGTGTGACTATTAAAACATCTCATTGCAATGTTTGGTAAATAAATTACTTTTTTCATATGAGATAGGATTGCTATAATGCTTTAATGCTTTCACGAATATTTTTTAACATGTTATTTATAAAGACTTTTGAATAAATTGTGTTTTTTTACATATATATTTGCATGGATTTCGCTTAATTTGTCTTTTTAATTTTCAATTTTGTTTTTACAAAGTTAGAGATACGTGTTTTAAAGTTGAGTTAGTAATGGGATGCACGGACTTGGAATCTTGTCGTTGCTTACACAAATGGGAAAAATTCATAATCATGTGACCATTAGCACTTTAAATTCATATAGCCCTTTTCATATTTAAAGCTCGTGATAAATTCCAAAAATTCTATGTGCAAATCTTTGATTTCTAACAAGATATTATATTGTTGTTAGACATGTTCAATTTTATGATGTCTTTTTTTGTTATTTTTTACAAAGTTCTACCCACAACGTAGTGTAGGCGACAAACTATTTTTTTTTAATCTATTTTTGATGTAAAAATAGTATTGAGTTACATTCACTTATTCATTGTTTTAACTAAACATAAAATACAACCATATCAAATGATCTAATACTAAATTTGGGTTAATCGCATTAAACGTTACTTTACTTTACAATTTTTTTCAATGTGGCTTTTGTATTTTTTATTCAACTTCTCTTTGTACTTCTTAATTTTTTTTAATGTGACATGTTTAATTGTTTTTCAGCCAATTTTTCAATTAAAACTAACATTTGGCATTAAAAATTATTTCATGTGGCATAACACATCGAGCAATTTGCCAAGTGGATAAAAAAGAAAAAAAAATCATATATTCTTCTTCTTCTCTCTAAAACTTATTGTCGAAAAAATCTTCGAATATTCTACAAATTACATGCTCATAATAATTAAGGGGACAATCAATTAATGAAGAATCATCATCTCCATTTGAAAGAGATTTTAAGTGTAAATTGTGACAAATATATACTTACTTCGTTGAAGGATAAATGAAAGTGTCCCCGCTTCTATAGTTAATTGTTTTTGTGATGCAAACATAGTGACAATCAACAACGGTATAAGCAAAAAAGGCTTAGGCATAACCATGTTATTATCTTTTGTTTTTCGATTTAACATATTAAAAATAATAAAGTAAACATAATTAGAAACCCCAAGATGCCGACACACTCGCAACTTCAACATCCAAAACTCTACTCTCTTTAAATTTTTCCGACACACCTGCAACATCAACACCCAAACTCGTTGGTCCTTAACTCACTATAAGTTTGTAATTTTCCAAAGGGATCCGACATAGCAAACCTTGTACGGACGTTCAAGCCTTTTGACTCGTTCCTTTTGCTTGAGGTATATAATTGCAGCTATGCTTCCATTACAACAACTACACTATGTATGGAAAGATCGAATTACGTCAAGTTTGGTGGACATTGGGTAGGTTTTTGCTAAAATTAAATAGATTGAAACAAATTCACTTGATGGTTTTCGTTGAATAAAATAAGAAAAGGGAAATAAAATTCATCATTTAGAAAGTTGTGGGGTTGCATTCACGTTTTGATTTCGAAGAAAATAAGTATGAAATAAAAACATCTCTCTTTCAAAATCAAAATATGAAAAAGAAAATGGGTATGAAATCAAAATCAAAATCTAGGTCTTTTAATTTGAGACAAATAAGAAGAAGGAGAAGAAGAAGAAGAACAACAACAACAACAGTGAAATTCGAGACATGATAATCCTTACACCCTTTAATCTCTCCTACAATAATTTATTTGGCGGGATCCCTTCAGCGGCCTATTCCTAATGTTCAATGACAACTCATTTCTTAGAAATTCAAATCTTTTGTGCAGCAAAAAAAAAGAAAAAGAAAAAAGACCCTTGGTGGTCCGGTCATGGCCATAGAATGTGCTTGAAAGAAGAAAACACCATAGGCAAAGTTGGCTACCGAGATTGTCTACTCGTGGGACAATGCGGAATGATTGAAAAAGAAAAAAAATGATATGGTTTACGGAGATTTTGATTGAAGTCGGGAAAGAGGGAGAAAAATCTAGTGTTTTTATAATAGTTTTTTTTTTTCATTTTTTTTTAATCCACATAACAAATTAAATCGACCTATCATGTCATATGGATATTTTTATATCAAATGTTAGTTTTACTTGAAAAAATTAGTTGAAAAGCAGCCGAATAAGCTACATTAATAAAAATTGAAAATACCCAAAGAGATTGAATAAAAGAAAAAAAGGCACAAGAGCAGCTTTAACAAGAAAAATAGAAGGATGTTATATGTAATTAACCCTGCTAAATTTTTAAGAAAGTTAAAAGATTCGGCAATTATGGCATTTTCCAAAATGGGGATGCTCACACAGGCCCATTTATTCCCTAAGTGCATGCATTAGCAAGCCCATAATCCCCCCTTTTAAGGAACTTACCAAAATTTTTCAAATCTGAGCCGTCAAATCAAAAGCTATTGAATCTAACGGCGGAAATTAAAAAGATCAGTTACTCCACCGAATCATAACATACACCGGCGGGCAGTCATAAACCCTAACCAAACCCCTACTTACACCCGACACGCGTATAAATATAAACTCTTTAGGCACCGCATCTTCACCACTCTCAAAACCCTACAAAATATCTAGAAAAATTAGGGTTTTGTAGAGCCGTTCTTTAGATTTTTCTCTCCAAGAAAAAACCAATCAAGAAAAATGGGCAAATCTAGCAAGAAATCGGCTACCAAAGTATTATTTCTTCTTCGATTCTTTTATTTTTCGACAGTTTGTTCTTTTTTAATAAAATGAGTCCTTTGGTGTTTGTTTTGTCTAATAGAGTTGTGTGTTGCTTTTGTAGGTTGAAGCAGCTCCTGCTGTAACTCCTGCTAAGGCTGAGAAGAAAGGTAAAAAGTTTGTACCTTAGGTTTTACTGTGCTATGCGGTTTTACTGTTTTTTAGTTTTGTGTGGTTTCCGTCGCTGATTTGTTGTTGTATGCGTTTTTTATGGTTTAATTGTTGGTTTTTGGTTTGTCATTTATTGAGATTTTGAAGTGATTCGTCGTGTTTCTCTCTATAAATATACAGAAAAGATAATAATTTTTTTAAGATTTGGGCCCTTTACTTTCTTTCTTTTTTCGTAATCTGATTAGAAGAATTTTTTTTGGGTTTTCTGCTTTTTCTTAATTTTATAGTGGCGGTGGTGTACTTTTTCTGAAGCATTTTGTAATTTGATAGCAACAAGTTTATGCATACAGATGTAAATTTGTAAAAAAAAACAGAATGTTTTTTGCTGTATTTTCTCTGTTTGCTTTTGTGTTGTGTAATGTTTGAAGTATGTTTTGTTTGGTGTGTAATTGGGCTTTGTAATTTTGGGGTTTCCAGGTAAGAACAAGAGGGAAGCTGAACAAGCCATAGAGAAGATTGTGAGTGCGAAAAAGCAGAAGAAGAATGATGGAGTAGCTCAGGCTGTGCAAAAGGCTAAGGTCGAAACTAAGACCCAGAAAAAGAAGAAACAGGAGTCTAGTGATTCTGATGACTCTTCTGAGGAAGAAGAGAAGGTATACACTTGCTTAACTTGATAAATCTCATGCTTTTTTTCATTGTTGGTATCATTGGAGTGTGAAATTTGACTGGATTTCGGTGGAAGCATCATGTTTGATTTTATTGTATGTTTTCGAATAAGTTTGGTGTTGTCTATAGATTTTTGGTTCACACTTATGTAAATATCAGGTCAAGGTTCAACCAAAGAAGGCAGTGAAACCTGCTAAACCACCTGTCAAAGAATCCAGTGAATCTGAGTCAGAATCTGACGAGGTGAGCAGTGGAATAAATTTTAGGTTTTTTTCCCTATATTTTTGCTGATTAATTTCTTGATTTTTAATTACAACTCAGGAGCCTCCTACCAAAGTTGCTATTTCTGTGAAGAAGGAGCCAGCAGTTGCTAAAAATGGTTCCATTGGTGTTGCTGCTAAGAAGGGAAAGAATGACAGCAGCAGTTCAGATTCATCAGAGGATGAATCTTCTGACGAGGTAAAATTCCAAGATCTTTTATGAAATGCCTACTAGACTGAATTATAGTTTTTTATTTCTATTATTTATCACATTGTATTTTGGAAAAAAATCCTAAAGCTACTCCTGAGCAAAATATTTTGAAATCATTCATTGTAAAGAATGGTAAAGCAAAATAGTTCTGATTTAGAGGATCTGACTGGCTACAGAATTCTGCAGTAGTAATTTGCTCTAGTAAAGTAGCTTCAGTTAAAGCTGTTGTGAGATCAGTGGCATACGTACTGCTAGGAAATGTTAAAAGTTGAAATACATGCTCTCACTCCTTTGGTGTCTAGTTGACTAGCCTTTCTTCCTTTGAATTGAGCTTTGAAATTTCATCTAAAGTGGCTTACTGTCTCTTGACCTGTTCATTTCATGTGTATGTAGGAAATTCCTGCAAAGGCTGTTGCTACTAAGAATGTTCCTGGAAAAGCAGCTTCCAAGAAAAAAATTGAATCCAGTGATGACTCGGAAAGTGATTCTGATGAGACTGAATCATCCGATGAGGATAAGGTGCCATTCCAACTTGTTTCTAGTCACGATGTGGATGTGCTGGAGATAGTCTAATGAATTTTGGTATGCAGCTGAAGTTGCAGCCAGCAAATGTACTGAGTCGTTTTTCCTAATTGTTTTTTGTAGGGCACACCTGCAAAGGCTTCTCTTACTAAGAAGGTTCCTGCACCAGCTGCCCAGAAGAAAGTTGAATCTAGTGATGATGATAGTAGTTCTGATTCTGATGAATCCTCTTCTGACGATGAGGTGTCATTACCATAAGCTTATAGATTCTTAAATATGGATTTGGCTGATTCTTAAAACAATAACTTTAGTTAATGGTTGAATTGAATGTACACTCTTAAGATATTCTTAAATTCTGTCTTTGGTTTTCTGACAGCATCAACCTTTTTTTTTTCAGGGGAAAGCCAAAACTCCAACCCCTGCTGCTTCGAAAGCTCCACCTAAGAAGAGTGATGATGAAAGTTCAGAAAGTGAATCTGATGAGTCTGATGAAGATGATGTAATCACATTACTAGACTTATATGCTAGTATTATTGCTTTTAAGACTTCAAATTGCGTATTTCAAACAATTGATTTTCCTTTTTTTCCTGATCTTCATATTGATTATTCTAGCTTGCCTTTAATGTTCAACATTTGAGTTATATTTTCATAGTTGTAGTAGGTCAATTGAATTAATGAAACAATATGGCTTGTATTTTTCTTCGTTCTTTGATTTCATCTGTTATATTCTAGCCAGCTTTTGGTATAGTAAAGCTAAATTCTTTTGGAATCATACTGAATGCTGCTCTATTGTTCTTTTACTCTTTCTCTTGCAGACTCCTGCAGCAAAGGCAGCAGTTGCTTCTAAAAAGCCATCCTCTGTTGCTGAAACTGCAATATCAAAACAGGTATGTTAATTTCAGTTTATGTGCATATACATGTGCATGCTTAGATATCTACAAATATGTGGTTATGTGAACTAGTTACTTATGTTTAAATCTGAAGATGTTTTGCTTGGATAAACACAATCAGCTTTTAGGGTTGGTTTGGTAATGCATTTGCCAGATACTTTTCTTGAGTTCTTTTGGGATGGAAAAATATTAATTTGATGTTCTTTTGGGAGTTTTTCTGTGGTTTGGATATGGTAATTGCTATACAATTGAAAGCACCCAAAGAACAATCAAATTCCAAAACCACTTTTGAAAAGCTACTGGATTGCATTACCATACACAGAGAATATTATGGTGACTTGTGGTTTTATTTTCTTATGATCAGTTGTTTTTTGTGTAGCTGTCTTTAAATTTCCAATTTCTTTGTATCAAATACAGAATAAAATGGATGATGATGAAGATGATTCAGAAGATGATTCTGAAGATAGTGATGATGAGCAACCTCAGAATATAAAGGTTTGATCTTTACCCCATTTTTAGAGTTAGGGGTCTTCTGTTATTTCTTATTGTTGCTTTTAAATGAATAAGTAAATTTTTTTTATGAGCAGGCAAAAGCAACTACTCAAAAGGAAAGTAGCAGTGAAGCAGAGAGCTCCGGTGATAGCTCAGAGGATGAGGAAGATAGTGAGGATGAAAAGCCAACTAAGACTCCAAAGAAAAATGTAAAATTGCTTATATTTTATTAAAAATGGTCACTGATTGCTAGACACTGGGTGTAAGATAACTCACTTTTTTTTTCCTGGAACAGAACACTGATGTAGAAATGGTTGATGCTGATATGAAGTCTTCTGCCAAAACTGTAATTCATACTTTTGTCTTTCCTTTTGGTTTTTGCATTATAAGTTTTTATTGTTTGTGTTTTGAAATAAATTAATTTTTATGCTATAGCCCAAGACACCGGTTACTCCAGTTACACCTGAGAACTCTGGATCAAAGACACTTTTTGTTGGCAACCTATCTTTTCAAGTTGAACGCTCTGATGTGTATGTTGATCTTTGAGTCTCCTGCTAACCTTAAGTGATTTATGCATGATTCTGGTCTGATTTAGTTTTTTTTCTGCAGGGAAAATTTCTTTAAAGAGGCTGGGGAAGTTGCTGATGTCCGTTTTGCCTTAGATGCAGATCTGAGGTTCAAGGGCTTTGGGCATGTTGAGTTTACCACGGCTGAAGCAGCACTGAAGGTTGATTTCTTGTTTTCTTTATCTTTTAATTTTAGTTCCTTTTCCAGGTGTACTTTGGCATTTTGCACTGAGCCATTTTCTAAATGTACAAAATTTGTATTCTTGGTAGTAGTACAATGTTCTTTTGTTGCTTTGTCTGTTTGTCATTGACAGGCTTCATTTTGGGAATTGAACTCTTTCCTTCCAGCATTAATAACTATATTTAACATCCTTATTTTTTTTCTCTTCGGTTTCTTGTCACAGGCTCTTAAATTGAATGGTAAAAGTTTACTTGGCCGGGATGTCAGACTTGATTTGGCTCGTGAGAGGGGCTCAAATACACCATACAGCAAAGAGAGCAACAACTCATTTCAGAAGGGAGGGGGAGGTCAATCCCTAACCTTGTTTGTTAAAGGGTTTGATAAGTCTGCTGGGGAGGATGAGGTAATGATTTCCTGTTGGTTGACACCTTTAAATAATTGTGGTTGTGAAATTTCTAAGTGATGTGCTCATGGAGTGTGTGTTCAATTCAAATCTTTACAGATTAGGAGCTCTCTTCAGGAGCATTTTGGTTCTTGTGGTGAGATTAAAAGGATATCTATTCCTACTGATTATGAGACTGGTGACATTAAAGGGTTTGTTCCTTTTCTATTATTTACCACATCCATGTTTCCTAATAAACAAGAATGCATTGTATTGTGTGCTGCTATTTGTTAATTCTCTTGAATGATGTCTTCAGAATTATTTTGTTTATATTGGTAGTCGGTTCACATGAAATTTATTTAATGTGTTGATATCTCTGCCAAACATCATTTTTTGTCCTTTCATAAGATCTCCGTAGTTTTGCTAGTATCAATTGAATGCCTTAAACTTTTCTTTATGTATATTTGATCTGTTTTGTCTATTGAAACGTGGAGACTGCATGATCTCTTTTTGTACATAAAAACACATGCCATTGCTGCAATTATTTGAGCCAGTTGTCTTGGAATAAAATCATTTTTATATCAAAAGTAGTGTTTTGAGAATTTCCTTTACTAGTGTTTTTTGTCTACTTTTTTTTTTTTGGGTTGATTCACCAAAATTTCTCCTGTCTTCTTTTGTTTTTTGTTTTTTTTTTTTTTTTTTTTTTTTTTTTTTTTTTTTTGAGAATTTTACTGGAATGTGGTTTTATTTTAAGTTTGTGATTGTAAACCAATTTCAGGATGGCTTACATGGAATTCATTGATGCTGATGCTTTTAACAAAGGTTTTGAACTTAATGGAAGTCAACTTGGAGGGTACTATTTGACTGTGGATGAAGCAAAACCACGGAATGATAGCCGTGACAGTGGCAGGGGTCGTGGCAGAGGCAGTGGTGGTAGGGGTGGTGGCGGCCGTTTTGGTGGTGGCCGTTTTGATGGTGGCCGAGGTGGGAGAGGTGGCAGAGGTGGTCGAGGACGGGGGACACCTTATAAACCGAATGTGACAACAGCTGCTTCAGGTAATTGTTCATAATCCCTTTTTTTTCCCTTTTATTCTAAGGTAACTGGATTACTGTTCATGTTCCTAGTACAATGATTTGACTCTTTTAACATTTGCCTTCAATTTGGTAGCTGTGAGTATTACTTCTGGTAACATTGTTGTTGTCCTTGAGGCATGAACAACATCGCTTTACCTTTGTAGCTTAAAGTAGCTTTTCTACCTTTGTAGCCTAAAGTTGCTGCGCTCTTTGACTCTGCAATCTATAAGAATCTGAACATATGTGCTCTTTGACTCTGCAATCTATAAGAATCTGAACATATGTGCTCTTTGACTCTGCAATCTATAAGAATCTGAACATAACTTTTTATCTCATGATGACATTTGTAGCTTAATAGGTGTTGGGTCGACAATTGTTTTATGCACCTTCGATTGGATTTAGTGGGGTTTACCTGGTGGTATGATGTTAAACCTCTTTTATATTTTGTCCTTTGCAGGAACAAAGAAGACATTTAATGATGAATATTGAGTGGAGCAGATAAAAAAATCGAGGGCATAAGCAGATAAAGGATTATATGTCATTTCTTTGCCTAGTTGTCTCCTTGGAAGAATATTTTTGGTAGTGCTGTTGTAGAAGAATGTTTTTGCTTTGTCTTGATGTTTTCTAGTTAATATTTAGGGGATGTTTCTGTTTTTGTCAAGATCTTGAGGACCACTGACTAAAAAGCAAATTCTATTGTGCTTGAATTTATCATATAGATTTGAGGTTTCTTCTGCTGTGTCCTGGTTACTGAATGCATTATTCAAATTATGTTCTCTATGTATTATTTATTTGTCTTTCTGACCACGCCGCTGTGTTGCTGTATGTCTGTGTTACTTGTAGTAGTTATACCCAATTGTTTATTATTCTACAAATCGAATGATTGGAGTTGTAGAAGTAAGGATTAGGTGGTGCGATTTAACAGCACGCCCTTTTCATTGCCTCCAAAGGTCTGTCGAGGAAGGCATTAGCTGTTGATTATTATCTGGATTGGTGACCAATGACCTTTCTGCTTTGGACAAACTGGTTTAGCGGCGGTTTGTCTCTTTGGCAATGAAGTAATATTTCGTGTAGGCGTAAGACCTGGAATCTCCGGGCCTGGACTCAGAATTACCCATGGCGTTTGTTGAATATTGATCCTTAAAGATGCAACAGTTATAAACTCTTCTGAAAGATTGCTGGGTAAAGAAATAGTGTCAAAATGTAAAAGAAATGTGGGTTCTGTCCCTGTATTGTGAAACTGCACAAGCTCTTTGGCTTCAGCATATTTGACCGGAGCTCTTCACTGCTGGAAGTGTTCAATTGAAGCTCTGGACTGTAACCTTAGCCTGAGGGCCGCCTTGAACATAAACAAAGCTGCATTCTGAGCCAGGTGGTAAGACCTTCTGCCATTGAGGAAGCTCATAGGTGTTCTTTTCTTGTGTTGGATTGAGATCCCATATAGACCCTGAAAGGTCTTCTATAACTAATTTTAGGTCTTTAATTGGCTTCACAGACTTGTTCATGATTATCACCCTGTGTCTGTAATATGTTGTCGGTCCAACTGTCCATGTCTTGGTTATTGAGTGAATGAATTCAACTGGGGCTTCTGCAGTCCAGGTATTTAAGGATATCAAACAAAGTTGCAAAATATTGAGGATGTTATCCCGAAGAATCAAGGAGATGTATAGTTCCTTTCAAGAGTTAGATTTTATTTCTTACCTGATCTTGTGTTGGGTGCTTGTGTTTTTTGAATTCTATGATAGAAACCTGGTGTTGGATGAGGAACTGGTGGTTGCTTAGGATAGCCTGCAAATATCAGCCGAAGACAGAGCATGGGAATTAGTTATTACATCTTCAAAGCTTGCAATGTTCTTGAACTGGGTAACCCTAGCAACCAGGAGGGAGCGACAGAAAACGTATTCTTTGTAAATTTCCTACCTGCGGGTCCCGATACACTTTGCAACTTGGAGAAGAGGCCAACAAGGGGAGCACAGCCAGAAAGTGTAGGCTCAGTTTGTTCGTAGTTGGAACGGTCATCAGAGAAGTTGTCATTCTGATCAGGGCCTCCCACAAGAGCTCCATATATGACATTAGGATTTCCCTCAGGGCGGCGATACCATGTCTCAAATCCTAGCACACATTGAACCGTCGATTGAAGAGAAAAAATAGAGGCAATGGAAGAACCTCTATGATGAACATGCACTGGATATTGTGGTCCATATCCAACTAAGTAGCTCATAGATTTGGGGTTCTTCCCAAGAAAATAGTCAGCCTGAAAAATTAATATGAGCAGGAAATCAGCAGAGAGCATTTACCGGAAGAAGTAACCATTGATGCACAAGAAAAATGGAATTGTCTGTCAGCAAAGATCATCAAAATGTGAATACTATGATTAGCCAAACTTGAAGTAGAGTCCCTTGAATACCTGTGACCTGGAAAAATTGAGGAGCTCCTGAGGTGGGATCTGCCGTTCTGGACAGGTAAGCTTGGCATTTGCAGCAGAAAGAGAATCAGAATAGACGGCAAGAAGAAATGCAGCAGCAGAGGCATATTGCAAATTGTTCCATTCCCTGACATAAATTAAGCCCCCTGATACAGAAACCAAAACCAAAACCGAGACTAACTTCAGGCCTTATATTAAGGAGGATACCAAATCGATAAAAACGGTTATATGACCGAAAAGGGATCATCAAGATTTTATTTTATTGAGACTAACCAGGAGTTTTGTGGACGTTGTAGCCATCATTCTTTTGCAGACAAGCACAGGCAAAGTAATTGGCTTTGGCTTGATATTGCTTCAAGGTGGAAGTGTAAGCGCCAGCACGACCTTCCAACAGTATCTACAATCAGTTTCCAAACTTCTGTCACTAATTCTTAAAGTTTAAACACGTAGAACCCAGAATGTTTGCGTGGAAGAACACAGTTCGATTATCTAGAGGTTTTGATTCTCATGATGACGAGGTTCTTGAATGAAATTACCTGGGAAAGAAGGATTTGCACACCAGCATATTTGTTGTCCCAAGAGAATTCTTTGACTGCCCATCCAGTTCCACCCATGTATACAGCATTGTCTACGACATATTTCAGGTAGTACTCATCATCAGTTGCCCGGTACAGCCACGCAGCAGCCCACAGTAACTCATCCTAACATGAGAGAAAAGGTTGTTTAAGAACATATATCCCAAATGATATGATTAGAACTTAAGAACAGATTGGCTGAAGAGCAAATATATTTACTTACCGAGTAACCTGAAGAAGTGTAGAATTGCTTAGCATTCTGAATAGAATCATCATATAGACCTCTATATCTGTCAGCAAATGTGAAAAGCTGCAATAGATTACAAATTATCTGTTAATAATGTTCATAACTTTCTACAATGGTGCCTAAAATCATGCAACTGTAGTTAATTTCACCTGTTTTGCATGAAGTAGGAGCAAATTAGAGTAGGAAGAATTGTAAGGCTTGAAAGCTATAGCTGATGCAGCTAAGGCAGCAGAAGTTTCTCCAGCGAGGTCCGAACCAGGATGATACTGATCAAGCTTGTAAGCAGTCCTTGGAGTTGTCATGTCTTCAGCTCTCTCCCAACAATAGTGATCAGAGTCACCATCTCCAACCTGGATTTTGCATGACCAAATCAGCCCTTTTTTTTTTTTTTGGATCGTTGGTGCTTGGTAAGACTATTAACAAAGTTAGTTGGACGGAAATAGGGTTTTTCAAACCAAACTTGTTTCTTCAGTTTTTAGACTACCTAAATGATCCTGTTATGGGTGAGCCACTATACGTATTTCTCATCTCAATTTATTTTTACCTGAGCCCAGAGAACATTAGGCTGTGTGTGTGCCTTCAAGAAGTAATCAGTGCCCCATCTGATAGACCACAAAGTTTGTCTCATTTGGTCTAACTCCGTGATTTCCCTCCTGAAATCAATAGCTCCCCATGCTAGCATTGTCACTGTATATGCCATTGGCAGTCCAAACTTAACATGATCTCCTGCATCATAGTATCCTCCCACCAGGTTCACCTGCACATATAATTGCGTAAACCTTGCAATTAATATCCTTTTCAATAACTTCTTATGCCGACGGTGGAGTGAATTTGGGAAGAATTTTAGGTAAAATTAGCATGATTTTACAAAATGAAGTGAAAAAAAGATGTTTACCCCTTGAAGATACCCATCCTTGAGGCCTGAGTCGCCCCTCCACTTGACTCGTTGATTGGCTGGTAGTTTACCCGACCTTTGTGCCTCAAAAAACATAAAGGTCTTATCGAGGGCATCGCCGTAGTTGAACCCTTCTGCAATGACTGCTTCTAGGACAAGTATGCCTAATAAGAGACTTAATCCACCAAAATTCAAGTTCTTCATGACTATGGGGTTGGCTTGCTAGCAATGGGGACAACAATTGCCTTGCCTCTAGTGCCTAATTAATGCCTGTGTGTTAACTTAAATGGCATATATATATATATATATATATGAAGAGGAAAGTTGAAGAATATTAAGAAAACGATTTGATTTTTTGCTCCGATGATTGGTTTGATAATGTGTGCATGGTGTGGGGTGGTAGCCTTCACGTTCTAAAATGTCAAGGCATTGAAGACATAAGTAGAGCCTCCCACGTTGTGAAGTGCATAAAATATACATATATATAGTGGTGGGTTCATGCATGTTATGGAATGTGGAGAGGCATGACACTTGTAATCTACACTTTTTAATCTTATATCATCGTCCATCGTTTTTCTTTTTTACTTTCATTCATTCTAATTGGTGCCAACCTCAGACTTTTTTTTTCTTTTTTTTTTGACCTGTTTGGTAGGCAAATTTTTGTGCGCCTCTATCAAGTCTTCGTTAGGTTGGCATATATATAGAAAAAAGCCAATGAAGATCGTAAAAATTGATTATTTCTTTTGTGTATGGTTTTACCATGTTTGTTAAATAGTGACTCAAGTCACAAATTAGAAAGTTTATTTATGAAATTCAACGTTGTCTTGGTTCCTTTGAGAATGACACGTGTCAAAATGAATTTAAGGATATGTTATCATGTGTTTTATCACATGCAAGTATACTTTGTAATGCCAATTACCACCAAACTGCTTTTATTTCTCAAAAAACAGAGAGAAAATTGACTCTGGAATCTGCCCGTGGCTAGATACCGGTAAAAGGTCCAGTTAAGCGGAACTTCTCACAAGGTATTCATAGACACTATTTCGTCACTAAAATTAGGAAACAGTTTTAAAATTTTAGATATAAAAAGTATAAAATTGATTTTTTGTCTAAAAATAGTTGTTTAATATATATATTGAAGTTTGATTTGATTTGAGTTTAGTAGGATTTCGAAAGGGTTTGGCGGTGATTTTTTTTTTTTTTGGAAAAAAAAAACGAAAAGAATGAATTTTTTAAGCTAGCTGGCAGTTTAAGATTAAATAAAATATGTTTAGATCATCTTATAGATATAAGAACTGTTTTGTTTTTATGATGATTCATAGATCATTTTGATTTAATTTTTGACCAAATTCTTCTATGTGTTAGATATTTTTATTTTAAAATTATATCTATGATTTTATAATTTTTTAATATCATTTTCAATTTTTTTAAATATTTTTTACTATTTATAATTTTTTAAAATGGTTTGTTTAATAATTTTAATTTCAACTTGAGTTGTTTTATGTAAGTTAGTATATTTTATGCTAGTATTTTAAAATTTAATCAAGATTTTTATTATATAGTTTCACAAAAAATCATATTGTCACTCGATTAGAAATTATCACACTAATTTCTTCATTGTCAAATTTGGTTTCAAATCCATCTAAAAATCTATGACATAGTTATTAATATCTTTTTTTTTCAAATCAACTATTTATAATCATATTCATCTCAAATTATTTTTTATTTTAATATAAGGTATAATAGTAATTTGATGGAAAAAATAGAATGATATATGGCATCTTTTATGTATTTGTAAGATGTGTATCAAAAAATAAAATGAGGAAAAAAAACGTAAGAAAAAATGTTACCTTTGCACTTTTTTCTTTTAAATTGTAGTGTTATTAAATCAAATAATAGTTTTTTTTTTTTTCAAATATCTAGATGTTGGATTATACTAAAGAAACATATATTTGATAATATAAAAATTCTTTAATTAAAAAATAACAATATACTTTATAACTTGTATCAATTGACATAAATTTATATGAAAAAAAATAGAAGAAAAACTACATTTTCATATCTTTAAATTTTTATTTAAAAGAAAAAAATTAGGAAACAAAATATGTCCTTTTTTTTCACCTTGCAACTTTTTTTTTCTTATACCAACCTTATACATCCAAAATTATTTCATATATCTCATTATAATATTTCCACCAAATTCTTATTAAAAATATTTAATTAAACTAAATAATAATATACCTTATAATTTGTATAAATGAACATAAATTTAAATACAAAATATAAAGTGGATTAGTTATATTTATATAAATATATAGTGCATTACCATTATAGAAAGTGAATAAGTTATATTATTATTAATTACATAGGATATTGTTACAATGAAAAGTGAATGAATTAAAAAAATAAATATTTTACTATATTATAAAAGAAATAGTAACAACAATAAAATTGAAAAGAAAGATGATAGAAAAATGAATTCACTATGAAATAAAGTGAATACATGTAATAGTAACTCAAAACAACTCTCTCAACTCTTCGAAAACACTAACTCAACTAGTGAATAATCAATCATATTTATAGTCTTTAAGATTAGGAAGAGAATTGAAAAAAGCTAGAAAAAGGTCATGAAAGGTTGAACCAACTTTTCAATTCTTGTGTCATCATACATGATAACGGTGAATTAAATCTCATTAAATAATATGATTAGTAATAAGAATAAGAATGATCATGGATATTTATTATTTCATAACACTCTCTTAATTGTCCATCGTATAAGAAATAGGTTTCGTTAAAACCTTACTAGAAAAAACTCGGTTAGGGAAAAAACTCTAAAGAAGAAAAAAGAGTACAATATCGAGTTCCCCTAAGCTTTATTGAAGATTTCTAAGATGACGCATTCCAATCTTGTGAATGATTTTCTCAACAACTCAATGAGGCAAAATTGTCATAATTAAAAGTTGAGGGACTCGAATTGTAAGGACCTAATTAAATTGATTAACTAAGTCTAGTAACCATAGTGTAACTTTTTGGGAAATTGAGGGACTAGTTAATTCAACCTAACTAGGGTGAAATTATATTAGAAATGCAAACAAAAAATGGTTTACGGGAGCTGGACCATTCAACCAAGACAAGGAAAATAAAGAAAGAAAAACGAAGGAAAATAATAAGAAGGAAAGATAAAGAAAAATCTAGAAAAAATTGTATGATCAAGGAAATGGAGAGATTTACCCAAGTGTCCATACACTTGGCTTAATCTTGGAATTTCTTCTCTCTTATATTTGACTTAGGAGAGGGAAAGAGAACGTTGATGAACAACCTAAAAAACATAGAAAACCTAAAAAAAATCAAGTCAATTTAGAAGGAATTAAGCACCACCAACCCCTAAATCCACCAAATTAACCACTAAACTACCCAAAAATCACCATAGGAAGGCTTAAGGAAGCATAACAAAAGAAGAGGGATAAATGAGCTTTTGGTCGAAACTTGGAAGGAAGAAAATAGAGGAGAAATTTTCAAACATCAAAGTAGAAAACTTGTCAAGCATCATTGAGGTAAGTGTAGTCTCAATTACACCATAAGGAATAATTAATTTGATGTTTGATTGATTATATATTTAAGTTTTGAAAGTTGAAGTTTGCATGATTAATTGATTGAGTTTGAGTATACTTGGTTGATCTTGATGAGTTTTTATTGAATTCATAAATTTGATGGATGAATTAGCATGATTGAATGCTTTGTATGAATTAAATTGGAGGATTGAAGTTGGTGAATTATGGAGGAGGGTTTTCGGCCAAATCATGGAATGGAAGAGATTAGGCTAATTTTATGAAATGATGATATTGTTATGTTTGGAAAGTTAATTGAATAAAGTTAAATGCATTGAGTTAAAGAAAATCATTCTTGATTTTGTTTTTGGATAATTCGGGCCAAATCTAATTTTTAAGGTTAATTGAATTTATTAGGATATATGTATGATTATTTGTGTTTATGATTAATTGAGTAGAATTAATTATGATTAGATGAAATTTTTGCATGGTTTACCTTTAGTGAGGCATTCGACCAAAACCCTAAGGGTTTGAGTGATGAAATTTGTTAGGGTTTACCGATGTAATAGGGTTTAATAAGATGAATTAACATGAAAAAATGTATTTAAATGAATAAATTTTCTTTGGTTCGACAATTGAGCAATTCGATCAAATGGAATGAACTTGTTTGCTGGCCTAATTACATGAGTTTGTGATGGATTAATGTTTGTTTAAGTGTATATAGATGAATAAAGATGTATATTGCTTGAATTGTGCTTGATGGTTTGAGATGTGATTGCTTGAGTAATTTGGCTAATTGCTAAATTTCAATGTTTAATGTGTTTGTTTTGTTTCATGGCTATTTCATGCATGCCATGATATAATAAGTACATGTTTATGCTTATAATTATGTAATGTGTACACATGTTTGATCAAGAATGCATGTTTATGAAAATGATAAAGGTAATGTATGTTATTTACATACATTTCATGTCATAATCATGAAAGGATTTTTCTTCAAGATTTTCAAAGGAAATAACTAAGGACCTTTGTCAAGAAATGCAAGAGGAAAGATCACCCTCTTGTAAGAAAAAAGAAAAAGAAAAGGAAAAAGAAAAAGAAAAGAAGGAAAAAAAAAAGGAAAGGTACTTAGTGCTTGTGTAATTTTTCATAAAATGCATATTTTAAAAGAGGATCGATTAATTACACAATCGATAGGGTGCGACCCGAGAAAGAGAATGAATTTCAAAAAAGCATGAAACTATTTTTAATTGCATCACGTGCATTTTATGCATAAATTACACTTACTAAGCATCACTCACTTTTATCCTTATGGTGTAGGTGAGAAAGATAAGAAATAATGGTACCTTTTAAAGTAACGATCATTGCTGAGCGTAAGCCGACTTGCTAATATGTGTACTTAAAATTTAGTTGTGAGTTGGAGAGTTTTAACTGTTCCTTTTTATCATGTTTTGGGACCTTAGCATGCGTACTAGGGCTTATACTTATGTTTTGTAAAATAATTATGCATGAGGATAACTCTAAATAACAAATAAACATGGGTATGATTAGTAGTATAAAATATGGGTTAATGTACAAATAAATAGTTAATTAAATTAATTGAATTAAATTGATAAGTAAATTGGATAATGGATTAAAAATTAAAATGAATTAAAATTTACTAATTGAAGGAAAAATTGATCTAATTGACTTAAAGGTTATTACTAAATTTATTGATATGAAATAGTCAATTTAATTGGGTAGGAAATAATTGATTTTAATGAGTATTAAATAACTGGATTTAATTAATATGGACTTAATGAAATAAGAAATTACGATAGTGTTTTGTTAAAAATGGCCTCCAATAGGCTTAAAACTTTATTTGGCTTCCAATGGGCTAAGTAAAGAATTTTCAACCAAGTCAATTAATTGAATTTATAATTTTAGGGTTTTCAAATAAATTGATAATTATGTATTGCATAAGAATAAGATTATTTGTTAAATATAATGAACTAGCTAGTTAATTAAGGTCATAAGGGATTATTATTTTAAATAATCTGAATTTTTAGGAAAAATAATGGATTTCTTATTGAATTGATTTATTAATTAATCAAGACCTAAGACTATTTTTCTTAGTGATGGTTGAATTAATTATCCAAATTAAAATGGGAATAATTAAGGAAAATTAAAGAGAAAAATCATGATAACTTAGTTCAAAGTATTATTTGAAAATATTAAAATTAAAATTTATAAATATTGATTTTTAGGCAACATTGTGGGTATTAATAAGCCTACACAATTTAGTAGGAAAAATTGTTATTAAATGTAGTTGTTTTGGAAAAAGTTTACGCTAAGTTCTAAACAAAGGTGGACTTAAAAATTAAAATAAAAGAGCTACTATAGCAAATGTTAATTAATTAGATAATAAAAAAGAGACATGACTTGATGTCTCACATTCATTGCATTTAGAATGTGAGGCATTACGGATAATATTCCTAACCTATTTAGGTCCTAGGTTAGAGATGTTACATAGATAATCAATTTTACTTTTCAAACAAAGCAATCACACTATCATAAATGACTAATTTTTCTTTTTGAGCTAAAAGATCACCTTGTCATAAACGATTAATTTTTCTTTTCATCCAAGTTGGTCACCCTATCATAAATGACTAATTTTTCTTTTCTAGTTGGAGGTCACCCAATTGACCAATTTTTTTGTTTTTTGAGCTAAGAGGTCACCCCGTCATAGATGACTATTCTTTTATGTAATCACATCTATTCTTTACAAATTTACTAAGCCTAGATGCAAAAAAAATTGCTTCCTTATATCCTTGTCATGTAAGCATTGTAAAAAAAAAAAAAAAAAAAAGACAACTCGTTATCATCTAATTATTGTCTCACAAAAATAGAAAAAAAAAAGCCGTTAGGCCTTGACTAGCTTAAGTGCACTAGGCTCGAGCCCTAGCTATCCGAGCCTAATTGAAAAAAAAAATCAAAAGAGAAAAAACCCGAGCAAACCTTAGGTGGCACCATTATATACCCCCCACACACACATCCATTAAAAAAAAAGGTCAAAACAAACAAAATAAAAAGTCGAAGGAAACAACTCTATCACTCACCATCTCCAACTTCGTTAGCGACACGTGCCATATTGCTAAGATAAGCTAGAAAAGACCTTCATAAAGCCTCAAAGAGTCGTCATTGCAATCACTATCGATGTTGTGCGTGTGTGAGTAATATTTCACATGCTTTGCCACACGTGCCCCTATGCACCATGTATGTTTCTCTATCTTTGCTCCGTTTTTGTTTGGTTTGATTCTTGAACTTCTGATTTAAGTATTTAAAATCCTAATTTTTTTTATTCTTGATTTATTTTTATCCAAATTTCATATATTGCATAATTATTTTCTTGATTCATGTTCCGGTAATATTAATTATATGGCTAGTGTAAACTTTGAGTCATTTATTGAATTAAAGTTACTTGATAGTAGGTTTAATTGAAAGTAATTGAATTTGGAGTCTTTGATTTCATTTAACATATTTAATAAGACTTTGAATTTGATTTTTTGTTATTTGTGTGTGTCTAAAATTTGATATGACTAGGGTAGAAAACATGTGATATTTTTAAGGCTTATTCTATTTTTATTTTTATTTTTATTAAATTAGGGTTAAGGGTGATGCATGTTATATAATATATAATTTTATTTTCCAAATTAAAAATCTATACTGAACTTTTAGTCAATCATGAAGCTAGCAAGTATGTCGATACTTTTTTACATATAGTGAGGAAATTAATATAAACCAAAACAAATTCAATTGACTATTTTATTTTCTATGTGGTTGATTTTACACTTGATATATTTATTTGATGTGATGTCAATTTAAATTAGTTTACATATAGTGAGGAAATTAAAATAAACCAAAACAAATTCAATTGACTATTTTATTTTCTATGTAGTTGTTTTTACAATTGATATATTTATTTGATGTGATGTCAATTTAAGTTAGTTTAGATGGATATGTTTAGAATGTGAGACCAATTTGCTTCCAATGACAGAGCTTATTTATTTATTTATTATTATTTTATTGTTGCTATTAATTTAGACTTCTTGTGCATCTAGTTCTAAATGTGGCATTGGACCTTGGGTCAAATTTTATTATTTTAAGTAGTATGGCAAGTATGGGCTAAGGGCTCGTGTTCTTATTTTATGGGATTTTTCTTTCATTTTTTTTTCAAATTTTGTAATTTTTTATTCATATTTTGATTTTCCTAGTGAACTTAGGCCTAATGCTTGAACTCATTGGTATTTTATCTTTTTGTTTTTGTTTGGACTCGCTTAATTTGAAAATAAGTTTGAGCCTTGACTTTCATTCTTCCAAATAGGCTTTAATGGTCCAATGACAATCTAAGTGAGAGACTAAGTTTTTATTTAGTTTTTAAATCATCTCATTTAGGATTGATTTAGAAAAGCCCAATAACCAAACTCTTGAACTAGGATAGAAAAAGGGCACCTAAATGAACTTTTTATAAGGAAATCTCATACGATAGAATTGATTGATAACCTCGTTAAGAAGGCACTTTAGGGTAACGACATAGTTATAAATAACGGATGTGGTTGTAAAAACGATTACGGTTGTGGTCGCAAGCCGTGACTTATTACGATAGTAAATAATGGTTGTGACAATCAATATTGTAAATATATTATCGATTGTTAATAAAACTATATGATTCATACATTTTAACTATTTTGGTAATTAAGCATAATAATTGCATCCTTAATTATTTAATATTATACAACAAGAGTTGAATGGGTACTCGTTAAATTCACCACATTACTTGTTATTCCCACCATTTTTTTCTAGACATTTACTTATATACCCTTCATCAATGTTTCTTAAACAATAGTTATATATATTTTATATTAAATATCCAAAATATCCATCAACATTATTTTCTCATCCGATTTCACGCTTTAACACACAAACACAACATAATCTTTTTGTAGCTCACACCATTCAATTGATGAAGGTTTCGATAACGTTTGTCTTGGTACCTAGAGTTATGGACCCTTTTGGGATAGTGTTTTCGGGTATTGGAAAGTTAGCATAGAAAGGCCGGACAAGGTGCTATTTTTGAAATATGAAGATTTGAAAGAGGATATATCCTTTAACTTGAAGAAACCGGGAGAGTTCTTGGGACTCTTTTTCTTTGAAAAAGAAGAGAAAGAAGGGGTAATTGAAGAAATATCAAAGCTCGTGCAACTTTGATAATCTCAAGGATTTGGAGGTGAACAAAACCGGTGTCTTTGAATGTGCTATAGCTCCAAACAATATCTTCTTTAGGAAAGCAAAGGTGGGAGATTGGTGCAATTATCTAAGTCCTTCCATGGCATAACGTTTCGGAAAGATAGTGGAAGCAAAGATGGTTGGCTCTGCGTTATCCTTCAAAATATCTCCCTAAGCTTGCAAATTGCTTAGTAATCTCCGGTATCCTCGGCTCATTTTCCTTCTACTCCCAAAATAATCCTTCCGCACAACTTCTTGTTGTTAATCGCTTCTCTTAAGGAAAAATGTCAAAAGAATGTGGGCTCAACTATCTTTCTTTATTTTTAATAGGTTGGATATTTAATGTAAAACATATAAAATTATTATTTAAGAAACATTGAATGAGGGTATGTTAGTAAATGTTTAGAAAACAAATGGTGGGAATAACAATTAACATGGTGAATTTAGCAATACCCTAGTTGAATTTATTACAAAAAAAGTTAGTAACACTTCTAATAGCTTAACGTGTATATATATATATTATAATTTCAAAATGTAACATTTCATGTAGATAACATCTAAAAGAGTATATAACATATTTAAAATTTTGAATATATATATATATTAAAACTATTGACGATCGTGGTCTTTCTTAGTGGTATAACTAATATATCGAATTATATTAATTTTACGATTATTGAGACATCATCGTAGAACAACATTTATAATTTTTTTTTAATTACACACTTAAAAATGATACATAGAAATAACATCATTTAATTAAAAGGATAGAGACAAAACATGTACTGATCAATGTCCTTCTATTTATCTCTATCGGATTAGGTAAAAGTCAAGGTTTTTTCCAAATATTTCACACGAGTATAAATCAGGTGGAACCAAATTGCCATTCCTATATTTACTGTCTTGTCCCACTCAAAACATCCTTCTTTCCTCTGGGTGGTATTGGCTTAATTTAGGATTTTTAAGGGTTTTAGACGAAACTTATAATTGGGGGTACTAACATGAAGTTTACCCAATCAGTTGAATAGTAAACTTTACCTTGACCAAAACAGTTCAACGTACAAAAACAGTTAAGAAACCACTCTCTTCTCCTTTTCCCTGGAAATCAAAATCACTACCCTCTACCTTGACGTGGAAGAAAAACCAACACCCCAAATTCTCCGAACATCAAAATTCATGACTTAGTTATCACAAAAACCCTAACCACCACCACCACGACCGCCAAAATGTCATCTCCGTCACCGTCACTGTCACCGGAATCTTCATCGATCCTTCTAGAAGACTTCGGTCAAAAAGTCGATTTAACACGCCGAATCCGAGAAGTTCTCTTAAACTACCCCGAAGGCACCACAGTCCTCAAAGAGCTAATCCAAAACGCAGACGATGCTGGCGCCACCGTGGTCCGTCTCTGCCTCGACCGGCGCCGCCACTCCACCACCTCACTCCTCTCTCCTTCTCTCTCTCCATTCCAAGGCCCTTCTCTCCTCTCCTACAACGATGCTGTTTTCACCGAAGAGGATTTTACTTCGATTTCGCGTATTGGTGATAGTGTTAAGCATAATCAAGCTACTAAAACGGGCCGGTTTGGTGTTGGTTTCAATTCTGTGTATCATTTGACGGATTTGCCCTCTTTTGTAAGTGGGAATTACATTGTTATGTTTGATCCTCAAGGTTCTTATTTGCCTAATGTCAATTCTTCCAATCCTGGTAAGCGTATTGATTTTGTAAGCACTAAAGCAATGTCATTTTACAGAGATCAGTTTGAGCCTTATGTTGTGTTTGGTTGTGATATGGAGAGTCAGTTTTCGGGTACATTGTTTCGGTTCCCATTGCGGGATTCGAATCAAGCGAAAAATAGTAAGTTGTCAAGGCAGGCGTACGCGGAAAATGATGTGGTTTTGATGTTTGAACAGTTGTATAAAGAAGGGGTGTTTTCGTTGTTGTTTTTGAAGAATGTTTTTTGTGTTGAAATGTTTGTTTGGGATGAGGGCAATGTGGGACCGAGGAAATTGTATTCGTGTTGTGTTGGGAATTTGAGTGATGAGGTTCTGTGGCATCGGAAGGCGATTATGAGAATGTCGAAGGAATTGGAGAGTGGGGGAGAGGGGGAGGTGATGAGGGATGGGTATTTGGTGGAGTTTGAGAGTGAGGAGGTTGTTGGTGATGGTGGGAGTGAAGTGAAGAAGAGGAGTGATAGATTTTATGTTGTGCAAAGTATGGGGTCGGGGAAGAGTAGGATTGGGGGATTTGCAGCTACTGCATCAAAAGATTATGATATTCATTTGTTACCGTGGGCATCTGTTGCGGCTTGCTTATCTGATGGTTTGTCTAATGTAAGTTTCATATTATCAATGAACTCATAGTTTTCAGGTTTCTTTGTGTTTGAAGACAATGTTTATTTTATTTTTTGGTAGGTTTTGTTAGAAATGAATTGTAACTTTTTTTTTAGTCAAATTGTATGTCCATAGCATGGTAACAATTGCAGATTTTCTTTTTATGAGTGCATATGTTATGTATGCACATAGATGTTATTGAAAACGCCATAGGCAAAAGAAGAAAGGAAAGACTTGGAGATAAAACTAGTTCAAGCCAAGTATGAGAACAGATTACTTAATGGAGAATATTGCTAATGATAGGTTAGAGCTGTGGAATCATTCATTTAGTGAATTTCTGTTTAGTTGGGATTAGGGCTTGTTAAGTTGAGCGGTGAAAATTTTTGGTAGAGTGAACAGAGCAAGGAATGTTGTAGTTGATAGCCTAGTTGACTATAGTACTGTCAGACAAGATGAATTTCTCACCTGGTTCTAATCTCTGAAACTTTGTTTGTAATTTTTTTCCCTACCACTTTCTTGCTGGCTTTTAATCTAAACTATTGATTCTCATAAAAAAAAAAGTTAATTGGTGAAATTTTTTGGCATTCATCATATCTTCTGAATTCCATGGGAAATTGATTGGATTGTATTCTGTTTTCCTTTTGTTTTCTCTCCTTTCTTGTTTATCATTTTGTCTTCCATTGTTAAGGTACTTTGAGGAAAGCTGACATGATGTTTTACTTAATTGAATACTTCACTATCTTCCTTTTCAGGCTTTTCTTTACAAAATTGAAAAGCTTATTTTGTTGTCATGTAATTTTTGATAGAATGATGAGCTGAAGCTTGGTCGGGCATTCTGTTTTCTTCCACTCCCTGTAAGAACTGGATTGAATGTGCAAGTTAATGGATATTTTGAGGTTTCTTCAAATCGTCGTGGCATTTGGTATGGAGCTGACATGGACAAGAGTGGTAAAATTCGATCCGTCTGGAATAGGCTTCTTTTAGAAGATGTTGTGGCTCCTGCTTATAGATATTTGCTGCTTGGTGTGCAACAATTTTTAGGACCAACAGATTCTTACCACTCTCTATGGCCCACTGGTTCTTTTGAAGAGCCATGGAGCATTTTAGTTGAGCATATATACAAAAGAATTAGTGATGCACCAGTATTGCATTCAGATGTTGAAGGAGGAAAATGGTTGATGCCAGTTGAAGCCTTCCTTCATGACGAGGAGTTCCCTAAAAGCAAGGAACTTGGTGAGGCCCTACTGCAGCTAGGAATGCCTGTTGTCCATTTGTCCAATGTTTTATATAGTATGATTCTGAAATATGCTTCTGCTTTTCAGCAGAAAGTGGTTACTCCTGATACAGTACGTCGTTTTCTCGGGCAGTGTAAAAGTGTTGGGCTGCTGAACAAGTCTTACAGGCTTGTATTGTTGGAATATTGTCTTGAAGACTTAATTGATGCTGAAGTTGATAAGCATGCAAGCAACTTGCCACTGCTTCCTTTGGCAAATGGTGACTTTGGATTACTGTCTGAAGCCTCCAAAGGGAGCTCGTTTTTCATTTGCAATGATTTAGAGTACATGCTACTTCAACAAATTTCAGATAAAATAATTGATCGTGATATTCCTCCTAACTTGCTACTTAGACTTTCTGCCATTGCGAAGTCATCAAAATCAAATATTGCCGTATTCAGTATTCAGTATTTTCTCAACTTTTTCCCTAAATTTGTACCAACCGACTGGAGATATAAAAGCAAGGTTTTGTGGAACCCAGAGTCTTCTAATGATCATCCGACATCATCATGGTTTGGGTTGTTTTGGCAATATCTTCGAGGTCATTGTGAAAATTTATCCTTGTTTGGAGATTGGCCCATCTTGCCATCCACAACTGGACATCTGTACAGACCTTCTATTCAATCGAAACTAATCAATGCAGATAAGCTTCCTGTCTTGATCCGAGACATCCTAGTTAAGATTGGATGCAAGATACTCAATCCTGCTTATGGAGTTGAACATCCAAATTTGTCGCTTTATGTAAGTGATGCTGATTGTGCAGGGGTATTGGAATCAATTTTTGATGTTGTGTCTTCAGATGGTGGCCTAGCACAAGCTTCATTTGACAATTTGAGGGCTGAAGACAGAGATGAGCTTCGTAGGTTTCTTCTTGCTCCAAAATGGTACATGGGAGACTGCATTGATGGTACTATCATACGAAATTGCATGAGGCTTCCCATTTATAGAGTTCATGGTGAAGGATCTGTTGAAGCTGCCCTTTTCTCTGATTTAGAAAATCCTCGAAAGTACTTAACTCCTTTAGAAGTTCCTGAGAATTTTTTGGGCTGTGAGTTTATTGTAAGCTCCTCAAATATTGAAGAAGATATTTTGTTAAGATATTATGGAGTTGAGAGAATGGGGAAGGCACACTTCTACAGGCAGCGGGTATTCAATAATGTTAGAATAATGCAACCTGAAGTTCGAGACAGAACTATGCTTTCTGTTCTGCAAAACTTGCCACAACTTTGCATTGAGGATGCATCTTTCCGCGAATGCTTGAGAAATTTGGAATTTTTGCCAACCTTGAGTGGTGCTCTGAAGCATCCAGCAGTGTTATATGATCCTCGTAACGAAGAGTTACGTGCTTTATTAGATGAATCTGATAGCTTCCCTTGCAGTGCTTTCCAAGAGCCTAACATTTTGGACATGCTACAGGGCTTGGGTCTCAGGACATCTGTCTCTCCTGAGACCGTAATAAAAAGTGCTCGACAAGTGGAACAACTAATGCACGATGATCAACAAAAAGCACATGCTAGAGGTAAAGTACTTCTATCCTACTTAGAAGTAAATGCAATGAAGTGGCTACCCAACCAATTAAATGACGGTCAAAGAGCTATGAACAGAATTTTTTCACGAGCTGCAACTTCATTTAGGCCTCACAGCTTGAAATCTGACGTTGAAAAGTTCTGGAATGATCTGCGGATGATTTGTTGGTGTCCAGTAATGGTTACTGCTCCATTTGAAATCTTACCATGGCCTGTTGTGTCGTCCATGGTTGCTCCTCCAAAGCTTGTAAGATTACAGATGGACTTATGGCTTGTTTCAGCTAGTATGAGGATACTAGATGGAGAATGCTCTTCCACAGCATTATCATACAATCTTGGATGGTTATCTCCACCTGGAGGAAGTGCTATTGCTGCCCAATTACTAGAGCTTGGAAAGAATAATGAGATCGTGAACAATCAGGTGCTTCGGCAGGAGTTAGCCTTGGAAATGCCAAAGATATACTCAATAATGACAAGCTTGATTGGTTCGGATGATATGGATGTTGTGAAGGCTGTTCTTGAAGGATCTCGTTGGATATGGGTGGGAGATGGTTTCGCTACTGCAGATGAGGTTGTTCTCGATGGTCCTCTTCATTTGGTTCCTTATGTACGTGTTATACCCATGGACCTGGCTGTTTTCAAAGAATTATTTCTGGAGCTTGGTATTCGAGAATATTTTAAGCCCATGGATTATGCAAATATTTTGGGCAGAATGGCTGTGAGAAAAGGTTCCTCTCCTCTGGATGCACGGGAAATTAGGGCAGCCATACTGATTGTTCAGCATCTGGCTGAAGTCCAGTTTCATGAACAAGTGAAGATCTATTTACCAGACGTTTCGGGAAGATTATTCCCTGCCACAGATCTAGTTTATAATGATGCCCCCTGGTTGCTTGGCTCAGACGATTCTGATAGTTCTTTTGGGGGTGCATCTACCGTAGCCTTAAATGCGAAGAGAGCAGTTCATAAATTTGTCCATGGGAATATCTCCAATGAAGTGGCAGAGAAGCTAGGTGTCTGCTCACTTCGTAGGATCTTGCTTGCTGAGAGTTCTGATTCAATGAACTTGAGTTTATCTGGTGCTGCTGAAGCATTTGGACAGCATGAAGCATTAACAACGAGACTTAAACATATACTTGAGATGTATGCTGATGGGCCTGGGATTCTTTTTGAGCTGATTCAGAATGCTGAGGATGCTGGAGCTTCGGAGGTGACATTCCTTTTGGATAAAACTCAGTATGGTACCTCATCTGTTCTCTCTCCTGAAATGGCTGATTGGCAAGGTCCTGCATTGTACTGTTTCAACAACTCAGTGTTCAGTCCACAAGATCTTTATGCTATCTCGCGTATTGGTCAAGAAAGCAAACTAGAAAAGCCTTTTGCAATTGGAAGATTTGGGCTTGGATTTAATTGTGTTTATCATTTTACAGATATTCCAACATTTGTTTCTGGGGAAAATGTTGTTATGTTTGACCCTCATGCCTCTAATTTGCCTGGCATTTCTCCTTCTCACCCTGGGTTACGAATTAAGTTTGCAGGAAGAAAGATTTTGGAACAATTTCCAGATCAGTTTTCTCCATTTCTACACTTTGGATGTGACTTGCAGCATCCATTTCCTGGCACCCTCTTCCGTTTCCCCCTTAGAAGTTCGACTGTTGCTATGCGTAGCCTGATCAAGAAAGAAGGATATACAGCAGAAGATGTCATGTCCCTCTTTGCTTCTTTTTCTGGGGTTGTTTCTGATGCGTTGCTTTTTCTGCGCAATGTGAAAAGTATCTCCCTTTTTGTGAAGGAAGGGAACGGTTTTGAAATGCAACTCCTACATTGTGTGCAACGAAATTGCATTGTTGAGCCTGAAATGGAATCAGGTGCTGTGAATGATATGTTTAGCATTGTCAATGGAAGTCAATATAGTGGACTGGATAAAGATCAGTTGCTGAAAAGATTGAGCAAGTCCATAGATAAAAATCTGCCTCATAAATGTCAGAAGATTGTGGTGACAGAGCAAAACTCATCTGGTGTCATGTCTCACTGTTGGATAACTGGTGAATGCTTAGGCAGTGGTGGTGCTAAGAGCTTCTCTGCAGCAGTTAATGACAAATCTCATAAATCAATTCCTTGGGCTCGTGTTGCTGCATATATACACTCTGTGAAGGTAATGGAGGGGGATTGAGTGATATCTCAAACATTGAGGGTGCTTGTACTTCTGAAAATTTTCAAATTTCTACAACTTCCATTCAAAATAGGAAGAATTTTGAAGGCCGTGCCTTCTGCTTTTTGCCACTTCCTATCAGTACTGGTCTTCCAGCTCATATTAATTCTTACTTTGAATTGTCATCCAACCGGAGAGACATCTGGTTTGGTAACGACATGGCAGGGGGTGGAAAGAAAAGATCAGACTGGAATATTTACATCCTTGAAGATGTTGCTGCCCCTGCTTATGGTTACTTGCTAGAGAAAATTGCATCAGAGATTGGCCCATGTGATTTATTCTTTTCATATTGGCCGGTGGAAACAGGATTAGAACCTTGGGCATCAATGGTGCGGAAGCTATACATTTTTATTGCTGAATCTGGTCTTCGTGTATTGTTTACAAAAGCTAGAGGAGGCCAGTGGATATCAGCCAAACAAGCGCTATTTCCTGATTTTACATTTCATAAGGTACATGAGCTTGTAGAAGCATTATCAGCTGCTGGTCTACCTCTGGTGACTGTTTCCCAGCCACTTGTAGAGCGATTTATGCAGGCTTGCTCCTCATTGAACTTTCTGACTCCTCCGTTTTTAATGACTGTGTTGATTCGGCGGAGACGTGGATTTAAGGACAGAGGTGGCATGATTTTGACCCTTGAATATTGCTTGCTTGATTTACAAGCTCCTGTGCAGGCTGATAGTTTGTATGGTTTACCACTATTACCTCTAGCTGATGGTTCATTTGCAACATTTGAAAAGAATGGGACTGGTGAAAGAATTTATATTGCCCAGGGGGATGAATATGGCCTTCTCAAGGATTCAGTTCCCCACCAACTTGTGGATCGTGAAATTCCAGAAGCTGTTTATGGAAAGCTATGTGATTTAGCTGCAAGTGAGAAATCAAATATTTCTTTTTTGTCTTGCAGTTTGCTCGAAAAGCTATTTTTGAAATTACTTCCAGTAGAATGGCAGCTCTGTAGAAAGGTAGTTTGGATTCCTGGTTATCAGGGACAACCAAGTTTAGAATGGATAAGATTGCTGTGGAGCTATCTAAATTCATGTTGTGATGACCTCTTAATATTTGCGAAGTGGCCAATATTGCCAGTTGGAGACAATATTCTTTTGCAGTTAGTTCCAAATTCAAATGTGATCAAAGATGATGGGTGGAGTGAGAACATGTTGTCTTTGTTACTGAAAGTAGGATGTTTGTTCTTGAGGCGTGACTTAACAATAGAACATCCAATGCTGGAAACTTTTGTACAGCCTCCATCAGCAGCTGGCATATTAAATGCATTTCTGGCAATTGCTGGTACACCAAAGGACATTGAGGGGCTTTTTAGTGATGCATCAGAAGGGGAGCTCCATGAATTACGGAGTTTTGTTCTCCAGTCCAAGTGGTTCTTTGAAGAGCGTATGAATGACTTGCATATTGAAGTCATCAAACATCTTCCTATGTTTGAGGCATACAAAAGCAGAAAACTTGTTAGTCTGTGTAAGCCTAACAAATGGCTCAAACCAAACGGTATTCGGGATGATCTCTTGGATGATGATTTTGTTCGTGCTGAAACTGAGAGAGAGAGAATTATTCTAGGCAGGTACTTGGAGATCAGAGAGCCATCAAGAGTGGAATTTTACAAAGTTTATGTGCTCAATCGCATGTCAGAATTTATCACACATCAGGGGGCTCTTACAGCTATTCTGCACGATGTGAAGCTTTTGATTGAAGATGATATTTCCATCAAATCTGCACTTTCCATGACACCTTTTGTTTTGGCAGCCAATGGATCATGGCAACAGCCATCCAGGTACTTTTTTTCTCCATCACTTATCTGACATGTATATTCACATATCTATTAATGGAAGTTGTCAATATCTTAAGCAGGTTTTGTATTATCGAACTATTCATTCTATGCCACTGATTTATCTGGTTCCCCATTTCATGTATTATGTATTGATTGTAGTACTCTTATCAACAAGATAGTACCATTTGCCTACTCATAATTTATAACCGGCTTTTCCTTGCTGTATGAGCTGTTGTCATTATAAGTATCACACCTTTTTCTTAAGTTTTTATCTGGATTCTTGGGCCAAGTTTTGAATGAAAGTTGCGGTTATGTGCACACTAGTTATTTAATAAACTAGCAATTCTGTCTTTACGACTTGCAGCTTAATTTTCAGCATATGATAGTTTTGTCTCTGCAATGTTTTTGGCAGGCTCTACGATCCTCGTATTCCCCAGCTACGTAAGGTGCTCCATAGAGAAGCCTATTTTCCTTCTGATGAATTCTGTGATCCTGAAACACTGGAGACACTAGTTGGGCTTGGACTTAAAAAAACTCTGGGTTTTACTGGCTTTCTTGATTGTGCTAGATCAGTTTCAATGTTGCATGAATCCAGGGACCCAGAAACATTTAGTTACGGGAGGAAGTTAGTTACCCTTTTGGACGCTCTCGCATTTAAGCTCTCAGCTGAGGAGGGAGAATGCAACTGCAATGAATTGCAGAATACTGTTTTCTGTCAGAACAGCAGTGATGCAAGCAATGATGTTGCGTATCTTGACTCTTGTGAGGGAGATGAGGATCAGTTTATAGATGATCTGGACATTGACTATTTCTTAGCCAACGTGATTGATGATAAAACAGAAGAAGAATTTTGGTCTGAAATGAAGGCCATTGCTTGGTGCCCTGTTTGCATTCATCCACCTCTAGAAGGACTGCCATGGTTAAATTCTAATATCCAAGTAGCATCACCGAGCAAAGTGAGACCTAAATCACAAATGTGGGTGGTTTCTTGCACGATGCATGTACTTGATGGTGAATGTGACTCCCTGTATCTACAACGCAAACTTGGTTGGATGGAATGTCCAGACATAAATGCCTTAACTAAGCAATTGATTGAGCTATCCAGGTCCTATGAGCAGGTTAAGCTGCATTCTTCTGTTGGGCTTGATTTTAATGATGCAGTGCAGAAGGGAATTCTGGCACTGTATTCCAGATTACAAGAATATGTTGGGACTGATGATTTCACACTGCTGATTTCAGCTCTAAATGGGGTTTCTTGGGTTTGGATTGGCGATGATTTTGTACCCCCATATGTACTCGCATTTGATTCACCGGTTAAATTTACACCATACTTGTATGTTGTTCCATCAGAGTTATCGGATTTTAGAGAATTGCTCTTGGGATTAGGTGTGAGACTTAGTTTTGATATTTGGGATTACTTTCATGTTCTGCAGCGTTTAAAAAATAATGTGAAAGGCTTTCCCTTATCAACTGATCAGATAAGTTTTGTTCATTGTGTCCTTGAGGCTATTGCAGACTGTTTCTCGGACAAGCCTATGTTTGAGGCTTCTAATTCGGCATTGCTGATTCCAGATTCTTCTGGAGTTCTGATGTTTGCTGGGGATCTTCTTTACAATGATGCACCATGGATAGAAAACAACAGTCTGATTGGGAAGCATTTTGTACATCCATGCGTAAGCAATGATCTGGCAAACAGACTGGGGGTGAAATCACTTCGATGCCTCTCTTTGGTAGACGATGATATGACTAAAGATCTGCCATGCATGGACTACACAAAATTAAATGAACTTCTGGCATTGTATGGAAACAATGATTTTTTGTTGTTTGACCTTCTTGAGGTGGCAGATTGCTGCAAAGCTAAGAAACTACACTTGATATTTGACAAGAGGGAGCATCCTCGGCAGTCTTTGCTGCAACACAATTTAGGTATGTGATCTTGAATCAAGAATTTTAGTACTTTATGCTCTTATACAAAAGGAATAGTACCTCAGGAAAACATTGCTTCTTTCTTTTGCATCTAGTAGTGGGTAAATTATTGTCACTGAAAGGAAAATCAACTTGTCATTAATATGATTTCAAGACTTTTGAAAGTCTTAGAAGACAAAAGAAATTGCGACCTTCTATGTTTTTGTAGGTCGAGTCCTCACTACTCACTACTCTATGAGTTTCTGATTTGAAGTTTCATTATGAGTCATAGTTGAATAAGTAGGGGCAATGTTGTAATTTTGTTTTCAAATGTTGTGTTTTGCTTTGTGTATTGAAGACATGGTTGTATGTGTCTGCTTTCTTCACTTATCTGGCTCTTCACTTATCTTCACTTCCGCAACTTTTAAGGCTATGGTGTCTTGAGTTAGTGCTATCAGAGCGACCTATCTGCTGCCAAGTTGCCTCCTTTTCTCACTCTAATCAGCTTTTAATCTTATCCCATCATCATGCCAATGTGCAAATCCCAGTTCTTGTGTATTCTTCATCCTTTAAAAAGAGCACTGTCTACAAATCCAAAACAATTTATATATTCCTAGGCCCCAACGTATTCTCCAGTAACTAGACCATTCCAACAAACTCAAATTTCACTATTTACTTGACCCACTGATCAGTAAATATGCAAATCATAATTGCTGCAATTCATCTTTTTTGAGACAGGGCCATTATTCTCCCACCATATACAAACCCAAGCTATACACGTTCCAAATAGATTAAGAACTTAGAACTGTAAAACCCCCAATGTAAAAAATCTGATCCATCACTAGTATGCAAGTAGAGATTTCTCTAATCTGTTCTACATCAACTTTATATTGTGCGGATTTTTGTCTTGGCTTAAATTGTTGTGAATTGAAGCATTGCTCAGAGGATTGGTTTCTAAATTGTGGTTTCCACAGGTGAATTTCAAGGGCCTGCTCTAGTTGCCATTTTGGAAGGTGTCAGCTTGAATAGAGAGGAAGTAAGCAGCCTTCAGCTTCTCCCTCCATGGAGACTTCGGGGGGATACAGTTAATTATGGGTTAGGACTTCTTAGCTGTTACTTCCTATGTAATCTTCTGTCCATTGTTTCTGGTGGCTACTTCTATATGTTTGATCCTTGTGGTTTAGCACTTGGGACACCTTCAAGTCATGATCCAACAGCAAAAATGTTTTCTTTGGCAGGTATTTCATTCATTTAGGCTAGGTTGATTAGTGATTTTACTGCTTCTTACATTTATGCTGCTCCTTTTTTTTTATGCCCTTTCTATAAATACCTAATCCTCCACACCCCAACCCCACCGACTCCTCCCCCCCCCCCCCCCCCCAAAACAACACCTTCGAAAGGAATCAAGATTTTGCTCTTTTTTTATTTTTTGTAAATTTGATTAAAAATGAAAGTCACTTTTGGGGAGGAAATGATAGCCTGAGATTGCCCTCATAAAACTGTCATGATTCCTTTCGAAGAGATTTTGTGAGGATCTTAATGTGAACTTTCACTGGAAACACGATTTTAGTAGTGCTGAAACTAAAGTTCTTACTTAGTGTTTTGATGTGGTACCAGGTACTAATTTGACTGAGCGATTTTGTGATCAATTTACGCCTATGTTGATTGGTCAAGATATGCCATGGTCATCATTAGATTCTACCATTATCCGCATGCCTCTGTCATCAGAATGTCTTAACGATGGAGTTGAACTGGGATTGAAGAGAGTAAAGCAAATATTTGATCGATTTATGGAGCATGCATCCAGAACACTCATTTTCATAAAGTCAGTTTTGGAGGTATTACTTTTAGTTTAGCCAGTTTTGATTTCTTGTGCATGCAGTGGCCAGTCACAAAGTTTACACTGGAGATATTTTTAACCTTTTTTTTCTGTTTCAATTGTGTTTAACAATGAGCCGTGATAAGTGTCAATCATTTCCTAGTCTTTGGATCTTATCTATAATCTACTGCCATGTAAGGAGAAGGTAGAGTTGCAGAAACATTTATTTTTTGTTAAGGAGCTCATAAATTCATACAATTATTTACTCCAAAGAACTCAGTTGAATCAATTGGATAAAGGACACAATCGAATCACAAGTAATCTTCATTTGGGATATTGATTTCACATCATGCCTGATCATTGGTTTACCCCAATAGGGGAACACTGGCACGCAGGGAGAGAGATCACATTCTGAAAATGGATCTTCACTTGGGTGAGTTAAGAGATGGTAAATTTTCTTGAGGGTGTATGATGAAGGTTATGATATACTAGCAATTGTTGTGTTTGTTTAAATACTGAGAGGTATCATGTTCTGAAAATGGATCTTCTTTTGGATGTGTTAAGAGACAGTAATTTAGCTTAAGGGTTTATGATGAATGTTATGATACACTAGCAACCACTGTTTTTGTTTGGGAACTGAGAGTTTTCTTCTGATGCTTGTTTTAGGTAAAACAATCATCTTCTCAGTTCACACAACATGGGACTTAGCATGTAATTGTCTTTACAACCTTAGTTGTAATAATAACATTTAAACGTAAATGTGCTCTTGTAAATATTCAGAGCTCAAAGTAAACCATAGTTGCTTCCCAAATGTGATTGCATAAAGTTAAATCCATGATGTTTGTTGAGCAGTTTAACAATATCTTGTTTCCACTTTGTTAATATTTTTCTTAATCAACCATAAATTGTCATGTAGAAATACTGAATACCTTTTTTCAGGTGTCTCTCTCAACGTGGGATGAAGGAAGTGCAAAACCTTGCCAGGACTATTCAGTTTCTGTTGATTTATCATCTGCTACCATGAGAAATCCATTTTTGGAAAAGAAGTGGAGGAAATTTCAAATATCAAGGTTATTTAGTAGCTCAAATGCTGCAGTTAAATTGCATGTGATAGATGTGAGTTTATGCCAAGGATCTACTAAAGTTGTTGACCGGTGGCTTGTTGTGCTCAGCCTGGGTTCTGGGCAAACAAGGAATATGGCTCTTGATAGGTATGCTGGGAACAAAACTTTTCTGGCACATCCTTATTTGATCAATCTGTGCATTTTAAAATGGAAGCATCGTTTTATGTAAATTTCGTTCGTGTCTTTTTAATTTAATTTGGATTTTTTTGGGGAACTTCTGCAAAGGCAGAAAATTTCTTTTAGCAAAGAAATTAATATGATGGGTATGAACAGTTTGACATGGCTACTACGGTACTACCAATCTAATTAACTAATGCACAGTAATTTCATCGTGAACAGCTAGAATACCTGAAATGAAAACTGTTGAGCGTTAAACTGATTGTTGTTTTCCATTGTTACACTTAGGCGATATCTCGCGTACAACTTGACTCCTGTTGCTGGAGTTGCAGCACATATTTCAAGAGACGGACGTCCTGCTGATCTATATCCAAAAAGCTCTGTCATGTCCCCTCTTCCTTTATCTTGCAGTATAACTCTACCTATAACTGTCCTTGGATGCTTCCTTGTGCGCCATAATGGCGGTCGTTCTCTCTTTAAGTACCAGAACAATGTAGCTTCAGAAGCTCAGGCAGGTGCTGGAGATCAGTTGATCGAAGCTTGGAACAGAGAATTGATGGCTTGTGTTCGTGATTCCTACATTGAATTGGTGGTGGAAATGCAAAAGTTAAGAAAAGAAACTTTGACTTCTACTATTGAATCAAGTACAGCCCGTGCAATTTCTCTGTCTCTTAGGGCATATGGCGATCTAATCTATTCCTTCTGGCCAAGGTCTACTGGGCTTGCACCAGTTAATCAACCTGGAGATGCTAGTGCTTTAGTATCAATGGAAGTGCTGAAAGCGGATTGGGAATGCCTGATTGAAGAAGTAATAAGGCCATTCTATGTTCGTGTTGCTGATCTTCCTGTGTGGCAGCTGTACTCAGGAAGCTTGGTTAAGTCTGAAGATGGTATGTTTCTTTCACAGCCTGGGAATGGTTTGGGTGGCAGTTTACTTCCAGCTACGGTGTGTGGCTTTGTAAAGGAACATTATCCAGTGTTTTCTGTACCATGGGAGTTAGTAACAGAAATTCAGGCAGTGGGGGTTACAGTTCGAGAAATAAAACCTAAAATGGTCAGGGATCTTCTAAAGATTTCAACAACATCTATTGTTCTTCGATCAGTTGATACCTATGTTGATGTTCTTGTGTACTGCTTGTCTGATATGGAGTTTTCAAGATCATCTAGTTATGATGGAGATGATACAACAATGGACTTTATCAACTCCAATACTGTGCATAGAGCAACCCCTGAAGCAAGCAGCAGTTCTGCTTCGGCACTAGTGCCAAATCTGCAGAGTTTTCACGGCTCATCTGTTCAGAGTACGGCCAGTTCAGGAGATGCTCTTGAAATGATGACTAGTTTGGGGAAGGCTTTATTTGATTTTGGCCGGGGAGTTGTTGAAGATATTGGTAGGGCTGGAGGGCCCTTAATCCAGCAAAATGCCAATTCAGATGGCATTTATGCAAACACGGATCCAAAGATTCTATCAATAGCTGCTGAGCTCAAAGGGTTACCATGCCCGACTGCAACTAATCATTTAGCGAGGTTGGGGGTAACGGAGCTTTGGTTTGGGAACAAGGATCAACAGGCCTTGATGGCATCTTTAGCAGCAAAGTTTATCCATCCAAAAGTACTGGATAGATCTATCTTGTTTGATATTTTCTCAAAATGTGCCATACAAACATTATTAAGATTGAAATGTATCTCTCTTCACTTGCTGGCAACTCACATGAAATTACTTTTTCATGAGAACTGGGTGAATCATGTAATGGAATCAAATATGGTTCCATGGTTTTCATGGGAGGGTAGTTCGAGTTATGGTGGTGAAGGGGGTCCTTCTCATGAATGGTTAAGGTTGTTCTGGAAGTGTTTTGGCGTGTCTTCCGGAGACATTTCACTCTTTTCTGATTGGCCCCTAATTCCTGCCTTTCTTGGGAGACCCGTCTTATGCCGTGTAAAGGAGCGTCATCTGGTCTTTGTTCCCCCTCCTTTTATAGATTCAGCCTCTGGAAATGGTGTTGTGGATGCAGGTAGCTTAGGAATTGATATGACTGGATTGTCCACAAATCACACTCCCGAATCCGAATCAATCCAGTCTTATGTTGCAGCTTTTGAAGAAGCCAAAAATAGGCATCCTTGGCTGTTATCATTGCTGAACCAGTGCAACATACCTATTTTTGACACTGCTTTTATGGAATGTGCTGTTTCATGCAATTGTCTCCCTGCACCTAGTCAGTCATTGGGGGAAGTGGTTGCTTCCAAGCTTGTTGCAGCAAAACATGCTGGCTATTTCCCTGAACTTGCATCCTTTTCAGCTTCAGATAGAGATGAACTTTTTACCTTTTTTGCTCATGATTTCCTTTCTAATGGTTCTAAGTACAGAGCAGAAGAACTTGAAGTTTTGCGTTGTTTGCCTATATATAAAACGGTTGTGGGATCCTTCACACGATTGCATGGCCAAGATCAGTGTATGATCTCTTCTAGTTCATTCCTTAAACCATCCGATGAACATTGTCTTTCTTACACGACAGATTCAATTGAGTGTTCATTATTACAAGCTCTAGGGGTTCCTGAACTGCATGATCAACAGATTTTGATGAGGTTTGGATTGCCTGGTTTTGAAGGCAAACCGCAGTCTGAACAGGAGGATATATTGATTTATCTTTACACAAATTGGCAAGATCTCCAAGTTGATTCTTCTTTACTTGAAGTTTTGAGTGAGACTAAGTTTGTAAGGAATGCAGATGAATTTTCCCTGGATCGCTCTAGGCCGAAGGATCTGTTTGATTCTGGTGATGCTCTATTAACATCTGTATTCACTGGCGAGAGAAAGAAATTTCCTGGAGAAAGGTTTAGTACTGATGGGTGGCTTCGCATTTTAAGAAAGACAGGCCTACGAAGTGCAGCAGAATCAGATGTAATGCTTGAATGCGCCAAAAGAGTAGAGTTCCTTGGAAGTGAGTGCAAGAAATCTTCAGGGGATTTTGATGATTTTGGGGCCAGTTTCACTCACTGCCGTGATGAGGTTACAATGGAAATATGGGCATTAGCAGGATCTGTTGTTGAAGCTGTGTTCTCAAACTTTGCTGTCCTTTATGGCAGTAACTTTTGCAATCAACTTGGCAAGATTGCTTGTGTGCCTGCTGAACTAGGATTTCCAAATGTTGGTGGGAAGAAAGTGCTTACTTCATATAGTGAAGCTATTGTATTGAAGGATTGGCCTTTGGCATGGAGTTCTTCTCCCATTATCTCTAGACAAAATTTTGTGCCACCTGAGTACTCGTGGGGAGCACTCCATCTTAGGAGCCCTCCAGCTTTTTGTACTGTCCTAAAGCATTTGCAGGTAATATATTATAATGATGTTCTTCCATGTCTTTCCATGTGTGCTAGTTCATTCCAGTGCAGATGTACCTGACAAGGATGCATCTCAGGTGATTGGAAGAAATAGTGGTGAAGACACTCTTGCTCACTGGCCAACTGCTGCAGGCATGATGACGGTCGATGAAACTTCTTGTGAAGTGTTGAAGTACCTGGATAAGGTTTGGAGTTCCCTTTCTTCTTCAGGTATCTCTTTCCTTTGTTTCTTATGCTATTTAATTTCACTCCTGGTTCCTTTATCTAAATGATTTTTTTGGCATTTTTCTAAAAACCCAGTTATTCAACATAGAAATAAATACAAACTTCACTCATGCAACAACAACAACATAGCAACAAAGCCTTAATCCCAAACTAGTTGGGGTCAACATATGGATCCTTTTGCACCGTTCTGCGTGATCATAAACTTTTTTCATGCAATAAAGGAAAAAGGGCACCTCACCCTCCAGAAATTGGTTCTGGTTACTGTCTTTGGTAATATCTTGTTTATTGCAAAACTAGGTCCTCTTATCTCTGTGTTCTGCATTATCCCATGTTTTCTACTCTAAGCTGCCATTGGTTGGGCCCATGAGATGTTTCATATTCATTTCAATGATGACACAGTTGTGGGTTATTTGTCAGATTTCCATCTACCAGCAGTAGGACCATCCAAAGTAGCCACTTTTTATATGATTTCTAATAATTGTTCTTGTTCAAGAATCAAGCTATTAATTTTGGTCTTGCTGCATCAAAATTCTTACAATTTATAAACATAACATTAGTTGTTTAATGAGGTTTTCTTTGGTGCTACTTCAAATATTTAATTGCTCACCTGATTGCTCACCTGCCTCCATTTTTTATTCTTTGTTAATGCAGATATAGAAAAGTTGCAGAGAGTGGCATTTCTGCCTGCTGCCAATGGAACACGCTTGGTCACAGCAAACTCTCTTTTTGTGCGTCTTACCATCAACCTGTCACCATTTGCATTTGAACTTCCTACTTTGTATCTTCCCTTTGTGAAAGTCCTCAAGGAAGTGGGACTTCAAGATATGCTTTCAGTTGCTGCTGCAAAGAATCTTCTGAAAGATCTCCAAAAGACATGTGGATATCAGCGTCTAAACCCAAATGAACTCCGTGCTGTGATGGAAATTTTGTTTTTTCTTTGTGACTCGACTGTTGAGGGAAACGTGTCTGATTGGACGAATTGGACATCAGATGCAATAGTCCCAGATGATGGATGTAGACTTGTTCATGCAAAATCTTGTGTATATATTGATTCTTATGGTTCCCGCTATCTGAAATGTATTGACACTTCCAGGTTAAGATTTGTTCATGGAGATCTTCCCGAGAGAATTTGTATAGTTTTGGGTATCAGTAAGCTATCCGATGTTGTAATAGAGGTACATTGCTTGATGTTCTCAAAATTTCCTTTGAATTTTATTTGCAGTTTCCGATATTGAACTTTTATATTCAGCTGGCAAGATCTTCTTCTGTTTGCAGGAACTTGACAAGGAAGATGATTTGCAGACATTGGAAAATATTGGGTCTGTTTCAGTGGCGCTGATCAGAGAGAAACTGTTGAGTAGATCATTTCAGGGTGCTGTATGGACTCTTGTAAATAGCATAGCCAACTACATCCCTGCAAGAAAGACATTACCTTTGGAAACAATACAAACTTTACTAGAATCAGTTGCTGAAAAGTTGCAGTTTGTTAAAATCCTCCATACTCGTTTTATGCTTCTCTCAAAGTCTATGGATATCACTCTTGTAGCTAAGGATTCCATTGCTCCAGATTGGGAGACTGGATCCAAACATCGTAGTCTTTACTTTATGAACCGGTCGAAGAACTCTATTTTCGTGGCTGAACCACCCACCTTTATATCTGTTCCTGATGTTGTTGCAATTGTTGTAAGCCAGGTTTTAGGCTTGCCTGCCCCATTGCCTATAGGAACCCTATTTTTATGTCCTGATGGCTTGGAAACTGCAACTCTCAATATTCTGAAACTTTCTTCTGATAAGAGAGACATTGAACCCACAAGTAACAAATTGTTAGGCAAGGAACTACTTCCTCCTGATGCTGTTCAAGTGCAACTTCACCCATTAAGACCATTTTATAGAGGAGAAATAGTGGCATGGCGGTCTCAAAATGGAGAGAAGTTGAAGTACGGTAGAGTTCCAGAGGATGTTAGACCATCTGCTGGCCAAGCACTCTACAGATTCAAGGTCGAAACTGCAGCAGGGGTGGTAGAGCCTCTTCTTTCTTCACAAGTATTCTCGTTTAAAAGCATATCAATGGGAAGTGAGGCTTCCTCAGCAACTTTACTTGATGATAGTCATACTGTATTTGATAAGAGGATTGTTAATGATGTGCCAGAAAGTTCTGGAAGAGGCAAAACGAAGTCCTCTCAGGTGTGGACCTTCAACTTGTTAACCTTAGATTTGATTGGTTGCGTGAGATATCGTTATGATCTTATTGTTGTTGGAAGTATATGGATGTATTCATGTTTTACTCATGTTACATGTACTTGATTTGATTCTCATTCAAGGCGCATTTAGATTGTTTAGTCCTATCTGGATGCCAGATCTCTCTCTCTCTCTCTCTCTCTGCTTTTAGAGAGAGAGAGAGAGAGGGAGGGGGTTAGTGTTGGGGAGAGGAGGAAAGGTGTTCGGTTTTGGGTATCTTAAATTGAAAGAAAGCATGTTCTCATGATTAATGGTGGTATTTTCCTGCTGATTTAAAATGTTTGGCAATAGGATGGCATGTTATTTTGATTTTTCAAGATGATTATAATTTTTATTTTGTATGAAAAGACTGACACTGATAATGATTGAGCAGTGGTTAATTGTATGAGCTGGATCTTTTGAAGCAATTAACTGAAAAATCTTTTTAATGTCAATTGCAGGGTGGTAAAGAGCTCCAGCATGGCCGAGTGTCACCTGCAGAACTTATTCAGGCGGTTCATGAGATGCTTTTTGCGGCAGGGATCAACATGGATGCTGAGAAGCAATCTCTTTTGAAAAGAACATTGACTCTGCAAGAACAATTGAACGAGTCTCAGGCAGCACTTGTGGTTGAGCAGGTTTGTAACTTGCAATTTCAAAACTCACAGTGACTATTCAGTGTCATTATATTTATAGATTGTATTTATAGAAATCCATTCTGGCGTGGAATTTAATTTCATGCTAAAATTGTTTCTTCAGAAAACTTCATTGACAATTCATGTAGTCAGATAAATAAATTACATATTCATAAATTCTTGATATGGGACATTGCAGGAAAAGGCTGATGTGGCAGCAAAAGAAGCTGATACGGCGAAAGCAGCATGGCTTTGCCGGGTCTGTTTGACCAATGAAGTTGACATGATGATAGCTCCGTGTGGTCACGTACTTTGTCGCAGATGCTCCTCTGCTGTTTCCAGGTGTCCATTTTGCCGGCTTCAGGTCACTAAAACTATCAGAATTTTCCGCCCATAATAACTCTGCCGCTTCAACCAATGCCAGATTTTTGTTATATATTTAGAGTTCTACACCTTGGTTCGTCGGAATCACCTCCATCTCTGTGGAAAATTGTTTTGTGTAGCTTTTATGAGAGAGAATATGAAAACTAGTGAAGAGAAGTTGTTCTGATACATAGTTTTCGGTGAGAGCTGGGGTGTCAATATCACGTTCATTCATGACTATCACCTTGCGTTGCTTGTACATAAGAAAATGATGACAGATAAATGTATAGTTTCACTCAATTTTGTTGGATGTCTTTTGATAATTTTTGTTCCTTTGTAGAAAGATAAAAGAACAGCGCAAATATCCTTTAATAAAAACCTTAGACATTCTAACGAAGCAATTAAAAAAATAAAAAAACCTGACGAAAGAGGATAAACAAGAGAAGTTAGTTAATTTGTAGTTTGATTGACCTTTTATAAGTATGAGACATTTGAACTTGCCACGGTTTCTATAAGATGTCACAAATTATATAAACTATTAAATTATAATTTTAATGACTAGCATCTTGAGAAGACAATAAATAAATAGATACCTTATAGTTCAACACGTAGAGACACCAATATGATAAGAGAAGCCTTTTATCCAAATGCATGAATCATTCCAAAGATCACCACTAGCAGCAGAAGCGTCAATAGAACTTTCAAAAACTTCAACCGTGTTTACTCTGATTAGTCCATCTATAAGTTAAAAGCACTAGAACAGAGAATAGTGAAAGGAATCTACTGGAAGTCCATCTTATACTATGATAATCCGTCCTAAAAAAAGGGTTAGGTTATAAGATTGAGGTTAGTTCTTCAATCTTATCTAAAGAAAGAGAAGAGAGAATAAGATAAAAAGTTAAAAAAAAGAAAAAAATTCGAAAAAAATATGGGCAGAATGTTTTAAAAAACGAGACAACTTTGTTTTGTCCCTAATTTCCTCACTTCTTCTCCTCCCTTTCTCACCCAAAACTCTCTCTACTTCCAAACCATTTCCCTCCTCTATCTCTAAGGTAGAATCTTGCCCAAAGCTTAGAAAAACATGAAAGGGAGATGATTAAAGTGAAGTTTAGCTAGATTAAAGGTTAGGAGGCTTGGAGAAATTGAAGAATTGAAATTGAGGTTGAAGACCCATTTTTGTCATTTAATCTTAAAATGAGAGAATTATATGTGTTTATTGATTATTTTGAATTTATTTTATATTGAGTCTATTATTTGAATTAGAATTGAGTTAGATTAGGGTTAGGAATTGAATTGAATTTGAGGATTTAATAATCTAACGATCAATTATATTAATTGATGCTTGAAATGAGATAATAATGATGTGAAATTGATTATTGGAGTATAGGTTTAAAAAATTCTCAAGTTGATTGAGATGATGAATTGTAGAGGTAAGCTATGAAAAACGTTGAATTGCAAATTAATGATGAATTGTAGAGATAAGTTGTGTGAAAATTGAATTAGAAATTGATGATGGATTGTAGAGATAAGATGTGAGAAAATTAAATTAGAAATTGATGATGGATAATTAGTTGAATTAAAGTGTAAATTGGATTGTTAGAGAAAAATTTTAGAATGAACTTGAGATATAGTTGTTGGGTAATTATCTAGAATTGATTGAGAGAGTAAGAGTTTAGTTAAAAATCCTCAATTTAAGTCTTTCTAATAAACTCAATTCTAGTAAATTGTCTTGTATTTCAATTTCTAGAATAATTCATTTGCTTCGGAATCATTTGTTGAGATGAGATATTAATGAATATTCGACCATTATGTATCGTTTTATTCTTCGAAGTCAACGACTCCATCTCAATAACTTTAACTTTGTTCGATCGTCCGATTGTATTGTAAGTGGATAGTATATAATATATCCTATTTTTAAGTTCCTTGATCTTTTCATATGCATCATTGATTTAATTATAGCATAATCACATCTATTAGAACTTAGATGGGAATAGTCTTTTTGTGAATTTTTCAAATGATTTAATATAAAAAATGATTTGACATGATTATGAAAAATATTGATTATGTATTTTATTATGATTATGCAATTTGAATTAGTATTTTTCTTAAGGTTTGATTTAATTATATGGATTTAATTACTTTAACTTAGATACCTAATTATGATTTTCTTCGTATAATTTAAGTAAGTATTTTATTTATAATTTTGAATATGAATTTGTATTCGAGCTTATACTTTAATTATGATATTTGATATTGAATTGCATTACCCGAGTTTAGTTTTGAGTATGAATTGTGTTTGGATATGTTGATTTTAGATTTTTAGAATATAAGTTTACTCTATTTTTGATTTATTTGACTACCTTAGGGTACCTAGCTACGAGGGGTGTAGCTTGTGAGCTCGGTGATACATAATGCTCCAGCCAATGGAAGAGGCATAGTGCTAGCCCATATGTCCAATATAAAAATCTAACTATGGAGGGGATAGCCTTTAGATGTTCACATTTAATGATACGTTATGTTTCATTTCACCCTAGGTGTAAATTTAGATACTTAATTTGATTTGATTATTCTATGTATAGATTTCGATGCTTGATATGATTTGAATTGCTTGTAAGTAATTCGATGTGTGATTTTGGTTATAAGAGTTTTGATATGAGATTTTGATTTGAATTTGAAATATTTGAAGATATGATAAATGATTTAATATTTAAAGTATGCATTTGACTTCGAGAAATAAACATTGCATGTTGAGCATATTTTAAATTATTATATGTTGGTCCGTTTTCCTTCCTTAGATATGTTGTATAATAAATATTCAATAAGTTATTGTTTTGCTCACATCCTACTATTTTAATTTTGTAGGATTTATGAGATTGCCTTTTTTACTTCCATAAAGTTACTTGTTTTGAAGCCAACACATCAATTGTGCAACTCTTTATTTGTAATGTTTTGAACTTGTATTTTGATAGTTGTTGTACATTTTAAAAGCTTTACAATTATAGTTGTCGGATTTGTGTTATATTAATAATTTTTATGTTGGATATGTTTTAAGTGTTGTAAACTAGATGGGGTGTGGTGGATTTGGATGTGATATTGATTAATTAGGATATTGTTTCATTCGAGGGCAACCTATCCTTTTGTGTCATCATATTTTCCCACAAGACTTAGTGTGAATTCATGTGTGTGAGAGCATTTTTGATGATGTCAACATCTATGAAAGAATTATGATAGCTAAATTGATGTTTATAAATTATGATGTGTGAGTGTTGGATAGAAATTTGTCCGTAGATTTAATATTATTAGAAAAAATTGATTTTAAGAATGAATTGGTTAGCCAATTATCATATTTTATTAGATCGTTATAACAAGGTAGTGTGTTTTAAAAATTTAGGAGAATACGAGTTTTCTTTTCAAAGAGAGGAGAGTGTAGCTCTTTCTAATTTAATTTCTACCATTAAGGCACATAAATGATGAGGAAGAGGTGTGTGACTTATTTAACTTATGTGAAGGAGACTGATGATAATATGGTTAGTTTAGAACAAGTTGAGTTGTGAGAGAGTTTTTTTTTGATATGTTTTCAAAATAATTATATGGTTTACCTTTAGAATGAGAGATAGAGTTCGATGTTGAATTGCTTTCGGTCCCGAGCATATCTTTATACCTTTCTATCGGATGGCATCAATCGAGTTAAAGAAGTTGGAAGTTTACCTTTAGTACATATTGGATAAAGGTTTTATTCGATCTAGTGTTTTTTTTCATGAGGTTGGTTTTGTTTGTTGAGAAAAAAGATGGGAGTTTGAGGTTATTTATTGATTACGATCGACTAAACAAAGTGATCGTGAAGAACAAATATCCATTATCGAGGATTGATAAATTGTTTGACATGTTTCGGGGTGTAAAATTCTTTTCTAATTTTGATTTGAGATCTTGGTATCATTAATTGATGATTAAGAGGGAAGACATTCCTAAAACTACTTTTAAAAGTTAGTATGGCCATTATGAATTTTTGACGATGTCGTTTGGTCTTACCAATGCTCTAGTAGCTTTTATGGACTTGATGAATAGGGTGTTTTATCACTTCCTTGACAAGTTTGTGATAGTGTTTAGTGATGATATTTTAGTATACTTTAAGAATGAGAAGGAGTATGAAAATCATTTGAAGAGAGCATGCGGACATTGAGGGATCATAAGTTGTAAGTCAAGTTTTTGAAGTGCAAATTTTGGTTGGAGAATGTGGCATTCCGAGGATACATTGTGTCTAAAGAAGGGATTTTGGTAGACCTAAAGAAAGTAGAGGCAATAACCCATTGGTTGAGGCCTACTTTGGTAATAGAATTCGTAGCTTTTTGAGCTTGGATGGGTATTATCGATGATTTGTGTAAGATTTCTCAAGAATTGTATCGTTGTTGACTAGGTTGATTTAGAAGAATGTAAAGTTTTAGTGGTCCGATAAATGTGAGGAGAGCTTTTAGAAGCTAAAAAAATGTTTGACTATGACATTAATCCTTAATTTACCCTCAAAAGTGGTAATTTTTAGTGTTTTATGATGCCTCGCTTATAGGATTAGGTTGTGTGTTGATACAACATGGTAAAGTAGTAGCTTATACTTTGAGTCAACTAAAAAAACATGAGCATAACTATCTTGCTCATAATCTAGAAATGACGAGTAGTGGTTTTTACATTAAAAATTTGAAGATATTATTTGAATGGAGAGACTTGTGAGATCTATATAGATCATAAAAGGTTAAAGTACATATTTGACTAGGAGGATTTCAATTTAAGATAGAAAAAGTGGATGGAGCTACTCAAAGATTATGATTGTACTATTTTATACCATTTAGGTAAGACTAATGTTATGGTCGAAGCCTTGAGTAGGAAATCAACTAGGAGTTTGGTGCATTTGTCGGAGGAAAAATGGCCATTGATGTTGAAAATATATAGATTGTGAGATTTTGGAGTGAAGTTAGTGAATCAATAGTTTATTTAGCCCATATTAAGGTTAGGCCAATTTTGTAGGATCGGACTTAAAGGCTT